GTTTCTATGAGCCAGGCAGTTGTGGCTCACACCTTTAATTCCTAGCATTTGGGAGGCAGAGGCAGGCAGATCATGTGAGTTGTGGTCTACAGGACAGGCCCCAAAACTACACAGAGAATCTCTGTCTAGAAAAACCAGGAAAAAAGTTTATATGAATAAGGAAAAGACTCTCTGGGTAGAATCAGGTAGTTTTTCACATTGAGTTCATGAGGGCGTTTCCAAAGACATCTGGCAAATAAGTCACCAAATAGAGGGTTAAAATCCACTCTGAGTTGGGGTGCCATTGTGCAGTAGTCTGGCAATAGGGATGAAATTTTAAGAAGCAGGAATTAACTAGCCAGTGAATGAGTCAAGCTTGATTCCTCCTGATTCCTGATTCCTGGACTTGGTTGCTGGTATCCCTAGAGGACCAGCTTCATCATCTTTGAACTTGAACTCACACCGGTATCTCAGGAGTTTCAATGGTGTCTTTCTCTGAGGCTTCTATGCTTCTTGGTCTGAGCATCTCCTAGTTTCTCTAGCTCTCTGGCCTGTAGATGGCCACCATGGAACTATTCATAATCTAATTGAGTAAGTCAATTGCATCTCTCTCTCTCCCTCTCACCCTCTGCTGTGTTAGTACTCAGGCGTCTGTACTGACCTGCCTTTGGAATTCTGTCAGGATATGCCCTCAGCTGCTGCCACTAAGAGCACCACCTGTGCCTATTCATTATGTTTCCTTTTAAAAGGGTCCTGCTCACCTCCCTCCCTCCCTCCCTCCTTCTCTCTCTCCCTCTGTCTGTTCTCTCTCTGCCTCTCTTTCCTTTTTCCTACTTCTTCTGTCCCTGGAGGCCAGTCTCCCCCATTTTACAGTCCTTTTCCCTTAATAATAATTTAAAAAAAAAAAACCCTCTGTGCTTGAACTTTATTGCAAGGCATCTTTCTCTCTCTAGCCACTTTTTAAAAATTATAACACCCTTTTCCCATTCTTCATCTCTCTCTGCCTATCCACCCTTCCATTATATCTGTTTCTCTAGAGAGCCCTAAGGGTTGGGGAGTTAGTTCAGTGGTTAAAGCACTTGCCAGAAGCTTGATGAACAAAGTTCAAATCCTCAGAACTCATGTAAGTGCTGGGTGGGTGTGGTAGCCTGTCTAATTGGGGTGGCTTGCTTACAGCTTCAGAGGTTCAGCCCATTCTCATCATGAAGGGGAGCACGGTGGCATGCAGGCAGCTGTGGTGCTGGAGTTGTAGCTTAGAGTCCTCATCTTGCAGGTAACAGGAAGTCGATTGTCACATGGGCAGTGTCCTGAGCATAGGAAACCTCAAAACAGAGACAGGATCCCCAGGGCAAGTTGACTATCAAGATTAGCTATGTCAGCAAGCTCTGGGTTTGATTGGCAGTCCCTGCTTCAGCGAATAAGGTGAAGGAGGATGATTCCTGACAGCCTTGGGCCTCTACATACATGTGTACCCATGTACATAGACACCCACATATGGAAATGTGTGTATAACACATACATGCAAAAAGATGTAAAAGAAAGAACTCTGATGTGGTAGTTTTAAATGTATTGGGCCCCCATAATCTCATAGGGAGTGGCATTATTGGAGGTATGGTTTTGTTGGAGTGGGTATGGCCTTGTTGGAGGAAATGTGTCACTGTGGGCTACTCCAGAACCATGTCTGCCTGCAAGCTGTCATGTCCCCCTTCATGATCATAATGGACCTAACCTCTGAATTGTAAGCTAGCCCCAATTAAATGTTTTCCTTATAAGCGCTGCGGTGGTCATGGTGTCTCTCCACGGCAATTAGAAACCCTAACTTAAGATGCCTGATTAACATACCTGGCATGAAAGTGTTTGGAAGGCCCTTGCATAAAAGCCCTTGCAGGCACGTCTGCCCCAACTGTCTAAAAATCAAACGTCTATTCAAAGAAACTCAGTTGGGATTAGGGGTGTGGACTAGGTTAACTCCAGCAGAAGAAAGAGGTGTGGAAAAATCAAGCCAAGGAAAGCCAATCAGCGAAGCCACCTTTAGACACCAGAAGGAGGCAAATATTCCTTCCCCCTTCCAGGGTTTGAAAGGATCATGGTCCTGCCAACACCAGGATTTTTGAATGTCTTACTCCTAAGACTACCAGACATTTGAGTTGTATTCTGCCACCAGTTGGTAGTACTTGTTAAATTAGCACAGAATTTCTATTCCCTTCAAGTGTGTTTTCTGGCCCAGAATGTATCTATCTCAGATGTTGATTAGCTTGAGCTGTTTTGTTGTACTGATTAGGGTACCCTTGTCCTTACTGTTGTTCTACCATGTAACCTGTCAGCTACTGAAAGGCATGTTGAAGCTGCCATCTGCAGTTCTCGTGTGACTGTTTCTCCTTGCAGTTTGCAGTCATGCTAACTGCACCATGCCATTTCTACATTAGGCAAATGCATTCTAAGGGTTAGTATGTCTTCTTCAAACATTGAGCTTTTTGTCTCTATATAATATCCCTCTTAATAGTTCTTAATAGTTATCCTGAAATCATCTTGGTTTGAAATGAATTTGATACTACAGCTTAATTTCGGTTAATGTTAGTATGCTCTGTTATTCTTTAGCCTCTGACCTTTAAAATAAATTATTTTAAAAGGGTTTTAACTTCTTGATTTATTTCACATATTTACCACTCACCACATAAAGTGTACTATTCATTTTAATATATTTAGGGGGATGTCCCACCAACATTCTGTGTGTGTGTGTGTGTGTGTGTGTAGCTCTGGAGCCTGTCCTGGAACTTGTTTTGTACACCAGGCTGGCCTTGAACTCCTAGAGATCTGCCTGCCTCTGCCTCCCAAGTACTGGGATTAAAGGTGTGCACTATTATACTTGGCCACTATAATATGTTTTAAAGTATTTTTGTATTCTACAAAAACCCTTCTACCCTTTTGCCATCTGCCAGGCTTAGGCAACCCTTAATTTACTTTCACTGTTTATGGATTTGGCAATTCTGGCTACTTTATGGTCATTTTGTCACATTGGGATGAGATTATATACTTGTGGTCTTTTGTAAATGGAGTTACATAATATGGTATGAGTTTTTAAGTTTCTTTTGCTTAGCTTAATGTTGCCAAGGTCCCTTTATATTGCAGCAGGTATCAGACACTTTGTTCATTTTTGTTGATTAATAATAATTCATTAGGAGGGCTGGAGGGATCACTCAGAGTTTAAGAGCACTGGCTGCTCTTCCAGAGGTCCTAAGTTCAATTCCCAGTAACCACATGGTGGCTCATAGCCATCTGTAATGAGATTTGGTGCCCTCTTCTGATGTGTAGGTATGCATGCAGGCAAAACACTGTATACATAATAAATAAATCTCTAAAAAATAATATTCCATTATACAAGTAGATTGTTTCATCTGTTCTTCAGCTTCTGATAATTTGGGTATTTTTCACTTTTTGGTTATCATGGATAACATTTCTATACACTTCACATATAACTTTTGGATAGTTACTATTTTTTTTATTATTATTTGGTATATACATATTGAATTAGTTACCTTTCTGTTACTGTGAGAAAACACCATGACCATAGATAACTTATAGAAGTGTTTGTTTTGCCCAACGGGTCCAGAAAGAGAAGCTTTAGTGGCTGGGGGCTTGGCAGGAGGCAGCCAGAGCAGGAAGCTGAGAGTTCGCAGCTTAAACTGCAAACATGAAGCCCAGACAAGGACTGGAAGTGTGGTGAGGATAGCAACTCTCAAAGCCTACCCCCAGGGACTCACTTCCTCTAGCAAGGCCATGCCTCATGAAGGCTCCTAGGGACCAGGTATCCAAACAGTGATCCCATGGAGGGGTGGCATTCTCATCCCAACCACCACATCAAGGTGTACACTGCCGGGTATTGGGATAACTGTGTACATTTGAAAAGAATTGCCAGACCATTTACCCAGACACTGCATGAGCTTTATTACACCACCACTAACAATATAAGGCGCAAACATCTCCATACACTCCCTTATGTGTTCTGTCCTTTTTATTACAGCCACCTGAGTGGGTGTGAGAGGGTGTCTCGAGGTAGTTTTGGTTTCCATTTACCCCAAGACCAACAGTACTGAGTTTCTCTTTATATATTTTAGTTATTTGTGTATTTTCCTTGGATACACCCTTATAAAAGTCCCTTTGGTCTTTTCCTTTTTGTAATCTGATAGCTCTTTACATGTTGAGGACACAGGTCTGTCAGATAAATTTCCAAATGTTCTGCTGTGGTTTGGGGTTTTTGTTTTATGGTATCTCGCTTTGATGACGTCTACTGTGTTTCTCTTTTGTTGCTTATCCTTCTGGGGGCATAGCAAAAGCTCTGGTAACTCCGCCTCAGTGATTCACACACATGGTGCTTATAGGCAGTTTTTCATTTAGCTGTGCTTTTGAATTCCTTTTTTGTATCTAGTGTGAAATACTGGCCGAGTTAATTCTTTTGCTTGTGGACATGCAGTTGCCTTCCGTTGTTGCAGAACACTCTCCTCCTTGAATGACCTTGGCATCCTTAAGCCAGGTGATTGTAAATGAGAAGGCTTATTTCTGGACTCCCCAAACAATCAGAAACGTTGGCCTGTGTTGCAGGCAGGATCCTAAGCTTGAGCTCATTTACTTCTCAGTTACTCAGTGATGTTGACTCTATTCTTAGTCCTGTCTGGCAGCGGAAGTAGCTTAGATCATGGGTGGTATGTCTGGGCACAAACTTGCGCTGACACTGACAGCCTGAGCTTTCAGCCGTGACGAGAATAAATGGTAGCAACCAGAACTGTACACCTGTACTGAAAAATCCATTTTAACAAAAACCACTGTAAGTCGGCTTGATCTACTGGGGTGGAAAAACACCTCCGATAGAGGCTTATACGTGCTTATCTCTGCGGGGTAGGGCCAGATACCTTTTTAATTCCAGGCGTGGGCTGTAACTTGAGTTAAATAGCGTTAGTCTCCGTGGGTTCGCAGACAGCCTCGGAACTGCAGGTCAAAGCCCACGCAGGGGCGTGTCTAGGTGGAGACCGAGAGGAGTCTGCTTTCTGGCGGGAGGCTGCCCGAGACTTGGGAACTCTCGCAAGAAGATGCGTCGTTACCATGGCAACCGCATCGCACCAGTCTAGAAAGATGGCTGGGCGAAGTGAGGGAGTGAGGGTGAGTTCCGCCTAACACCGGTGGCTGGGCTGTGCTGGGCTAAGCTGGGCTGCGAGGTGGGCAAGCGGAATGGACCCCATACTCCCCTAAACTTGAGCTCTGCAATTCTGTTTGCAGAGACGCGGGGCCGCAGGTACTCAGTCGCGCGGGCAGTTTGCAGCTGGACGGGATCTCCTGGCCCGCGAGCAAGAGTACAAGTGAGGTTACTGGGGTGCCTTTCCTGAAGGGTGGCTGCATCTGGGGACCCCCTTCCCTCCCTCCTTATCTGCTCTCAGCCTTGGCTATTTCACCGAGGCAGTCTGAGAAGACAATTATAAGGGCAAAAATGTAGTCCAAAAACTGTGTTGGGCAGCAGGAGGGGTCACTTGGAAGAGGCTTGGAGCACACGAATCGCCACCAAGAGTGGAGTTCCCAGAGAAGACGATGTTGAGGATTCTCAAATTACCAGAACATACTTTGCGCAAACTTCTTAGAGGCTTGTCTTCTAAATGAATCCTTGCCTTGTTCTCCAGCAGTTACGGTGCTCCTGCAAACATAGGCTTCAAGCTCTCAGCCCTCTTCCCCAGGTTGCTTGCAGTAGCCAGAGCAACCCTTTCACTTTTAGTTTATCTTTTCACTGCACTGCTTAAAACTGATTTTTTTTTTTTTTTTTTTTTTTTTTTTTTTTTTGTAGCAGTTGCAAAGCTTTGACAGTTCTGGCTCCTTTCATTTCACCTTCTGCCCTCTCTCATGTATATAGTGTGGCGCTCTCCAGTCACAAGGGACTTGGGTCTTTCTTTCCTCCCTTCTCTTTTCTTTGGGGAAATCACCTGCCTTTGGGCTGTACATCCCAGAGGCGCCTACCTAGACCATGCTAAACAGGGCCCTAGTTGTTTAGTGTTTTTTTTTTAAATTAGCATATTCTGTTAAAATAACCTCATTTATTTACACGAAACAGAGTCTCTACATAGCCCTGTCTGTCCTGGAACTCCCACTATATATAGTAACACCCAGCCCAGGCAGGCCTCCCTGACCCTGGCCACTCTGGTCAAAAGGAGGCAGGGCCCACCTGTCTCTAAAGATGCAGGGTTGGAACCTGTGTTCTCCACAGATAGGATAATCACCCAGTTTGCTCTTGCCTAATTACTAGTGAGATGACTTACTTCATGGAAGATATGAGTAGTGGACCATAGAAAGGCAGGGCAGTGCTTACATTCCTACCAGAGGTGGGAAGAGGCAGAGAGTGCTAATAGCTATGTTCATTTTAGACTAAAAATGTTGTGTATGCTTTGGCATACACTGATGATAATGTAATTGCCAAAATTTTTGTTAGAATTTGAGTATAACTCAAGTATTACTTTATTTTCTGCCTTTTAGACGTTTAAATGCAGAATTGGAGGCAAAAACTGCTGATCTGGTTAGACAAGCTGACAAAGCAATAGTAAGTAGATGCACAATTTTTCCATTAAGTGCTTATGTTTTAACTTTAAATTTATTGCATAACATGCATATAGAAAATACCCAAAGCATCAGTGATCAGCTCAACGAGTGACAAGCGAAGCATGAATGTGTGCCCATAGGTGTAGTTTCAATGTGTTCGATAAAAGTAGTTTCTGTTTAGATGCTCCAATCATGTAATCCAAAAGAACATTAATGTGAGAAATCTTGTCTAGTACCAAAATATTTGAGAGTGTTTATATAGTTAAATTAACACCAAAGATTCAGTAAAGTTGAATGTAACAGGGCTCAAGGTGAAGGCTGAATAGTAAGGACAGACATCCAGATTCTAATGCTAAGCTGTAGTTGCATTTAACTTGAGGTTCTAAGGGCTAGAATAAATCACAAAGCCAGGAAAAATGTGAGGTGATTTCACCAGCCCATGTATCTAAGCATCAGCCTCCATGTCGGTATCAGATTGGGCATTGATATTTTAAACATTGCTCCGTAAGAACCAGTTTTCCCAATGCTAATTCACTGATGTGCAGCCTTCCTAGAGGAGTCAGGTGACTGTTTTTGAACTGCAAAGTTCTGGTCTCGACTTCACTGATCCTGTCTTTAATCCCAAAATGGAGTTGACAGAGACAGGGAAGACATTCTAATATTTTATTATTTTTATGATTTTTTAAATTGTGTGTGTGTGTGTGTACATGTGTACATGTGCAGTATGCACAAGACCCACAGAGACCAGAGATGTCAGATCCCCTGGAACTGGAGTTACAGGTGATTGACTGTGAGTTTCCTGACATGGGTTTTGGCAACCAAACATGGGTCCTCTGCAAAAGTAGTAGATGATATTAATTCTTCACTGAGCCATTTTTCACTCAATATTTTATTTTGATGCTTCATATAAAGCCATAATTAATTTACTAGTTGAGAAATGTAACACCTGTAGTATTTCACTTAATAGCTAATAATTACAGATCTGCTACTTGTATTTGCAATTAAATATTTTACTGGAAATATTTTAATTTATTTCATTTTGCAGTTTAGGCAATATCTGAAGAGAAGGAAAACATTTGCCCAGAAGGACAGCATATCATAATACAATGAGAGGTGTATTTGTATATGCTTAAGGAGTCCCCTAAAGAGAACTTTTATTCCACCCCAGAAAGAACAAAATAGAAGCTAGTAGAAAGTACTTCTGCTGTATTCAGTTTGCATTTACTCTCTTTTATTGTTTAATAACTCCTCACCAGAGCTTTTACTCCTGATGTCTCACATTGAATAAGGAATGTAAAGAACATGAGGGCCTTAGTACTCCTATATTTTTATCTTCCAAGTGATTTTCTTACACTGGAACAAAAGAGAAGCAAAACCATAATCGGTATTTATTTGTTACTGTGTAGCATTTCTGATATTGTGGAGATCTCAGACAGCTCTGAAATAATGAGTGTTTAGAGAGGTGTTAAACTAAACTCTATGAGGGGCTGGAGAGATGGCTCCAAGGTTAAGAGCACTGCTCTTCCAGAGGTCCTGAGTTCAATTCTCAGTAACCACTTGGTGGCTCACAACCATCTGTAATGAGATCTGGTGCCCTCTTCTGGCCTGCAGGCCATACATGCAGACAGAACACTGTATGTTAAGTAAATAAATCTAAAAACAAAACCAACCAAACAACAACAACAACAAAAAATAGACTCTATGAGTGTTGTCTTTAATATTCATGGCTTATCCTGTCTAACCAGAGAGATCAGCAAGAAGAACAAGCTAGGCCTTTTTCAACAATAATTACAGCATGCAATGAAGAAGATGGCTACAGTACGAGGTATGTAACTGCAGCTCTCAAACATGGCTTTCATTCATTCCCTATAAAATTTTAATGTATAAAATCTTTTAAAAATGTTCAAGTATAATTCAGGAAAGAGTATAAGATGTAAAATTGTAATTGGGGCTTTACTAGTCAGATGTAAGGCAAGTTTTTATCTGTTTTACCTCATATACTGTTCCAATTATTATTTGAAAATAGATATTATTGTCTTTGTTTGGAAAACTATAGCTTAGGGAAAGTCGGTGCTGGGCAAAGGTCAAACAGTAGTTTCCCTCCGTTCAGACCACAGCAGTGTAAGAGATCTTTAGACCCTTTCTCATATACTCTGCCATCTCTTTTAAAGTTATGTGTGAAGATTAGGTAGTGATAAATTAGTATAGATACACTATGTTAGTTTTTGACTTCTTGTACATTTTTGACACATCAATAAATTAGGCAACCGTAAAATATTAGTAATACATTTAACAAAAGTCTGGGTTCTATATGAATAAAATTGATTTAGTGCAGCAAAGATAGTGATGCCTCCAACCAGCCTATGCAGTGGCTTTGTCTTCTGAGAACTCAGCTGTTTCAAGCATTACACAATTCTAGCCACACCCCCAGTTTCTGTTCAGTGGGATTCTCTTCTTGGTTCCAATGAGCACCACATTTCACAACTGAGTCTACAGTTCTTTCTGAAGCTTCTTCAACATACAGAGAACCCCAGGCACAGTGGAGACTAAACAGGCCTAATTCTGCTCTGAAGAAGCTAACACCTCTCTGTTAGGCGCACTGGCTGCTCTTTAGGAGGACCCTGGTTCAGTTCTCAGCCCCTGTGTTGTCTGTCTCACAACATTTGCAACTCCAGTTCCAAGAACTCCAACACCTCTCTCTGGCTTCCACAGGCAGTAACACACACACACACACACACACACACACACAGAGAGAGAGAGAGAAAGAGAGAGAGAGAGAGAGAGAGAGAGAGAGAGAGAGAGAGAGGGAGAGAGGGAGAGAATTGAAAATAACAAACATCAAAACAAAGATCTTTTTAAAGAGTCTGGCAGCTGCCCATCACCATCACGGTGAGGTGTGGGCAGTACTAACTGCTAGTGCACTCCCACACGATGCTGCAGTACAGTGAGGAACAAGCTTTCTACCGTGAGGGCTGGATGTAGCAGTGTGTGGTGTTCACTGGAACCAAGGAAGAGAGGATCACACATCACAGAAACTGCACGTGTGTAACTCTCAAAACATCTGTGGGCTCTCAGAACATAGCTTCCAGGCATGGACTGTTGCGGACTGTTACTTTGAGTTTTTCTTTGCAGTAAATTGTAAAAGTATGTTTTGCATCATCATTTGGCATGTGCATATGTTCATATAATAGTAAATCACTTATCTGTATCATATGTAATTCTACCTGGTGTTTAGTGAAAAAAAGAAAAAAAAAAAAAAGATACTCAATAGCTACCTAATTTCCAAAGTTTGGATTACAGATAAGATTGGGCCTGGCTTTTATCTGGTAATGACAGAATTGAAATGATGTATCGGCAGCTGATTCTTAGTTCCTGCCGAAGCAAGCAAAAGACTGGTTTTACAAGTGTAAAAATAAACCTGCTGATTTTCTTTTACTAAGTTTTTCTCATGTCCAAAGTGGGGATGAGGCCTCTGTTCAGGTAGCCTCTGGCCTCTGGTACATCATTATCACTGGCCCCTCACTCCTCTAGGACATCTTGCTGTTGCCCCAAGTCGTGGAGATCCTGGGGCTATTATTCCTAAGGACCAGTCCCTTCATGCATTCTAGTAGGTCATAGATGGGGTAGATATTAGGGTGGCCCAACCCAAGGCCCAGGATGTGGATCTGGGTGAGCTATCCATTTCCATAAAGGAATCAAGAATTCCTACAACAATTCCCCTTTTTGTCTAAATAAGAGGGTTCTGAACCTAATACAAAACTATGTGCAATAAGAACAATATCAAGTGTTTTTCAGAAGAAAAGGTTAAAAAAAATCCCACAAAATTAGAACTACAACCAACAAGAGCATCAACAAGCAAGAAACACACACTAAATGTCCAAGCTATAGGTAATTGGCAAGTAAAAGAGATTATTCCATACCTTCTGTGTAGTGAAATATTTAACCTAAGCACTTTTAATGGCCTTGATTCAAAGTAAATTGTCTAAGAACTAGAATAAAAGTGAAATATAATTCTTTGTGCATATATACTTACTAAATGTTTACATATGTCTAGATATAATTTATATGGGAATCAACTATATAATTCATACATGTCAAGATGATATATGGCTAATTGGAATTAGAGCAATATTTCCTCTTTAGGCTATAATTACTGTTGACTTCATGGTGTCTCAGCTTAATGCCATCTATTTTAATATAGTAATTACTTTTGGTTTGTAGAGACTTGTCATCTGAAGGCATGGACCATCTATGGTCAGAAACCAAGGTATGAAATCAAACTTTCTGTAAATGCAATTACATTCTTTAGAATTTAGGACTTAAAAAAAAAACATTTATTTGTGCCACAGCATGCATGTGGAAGTCAGAGGACAACTTGTGGGGCTTGGTTCTCCCTAGCCACCATGTAGACTCTGGAAATTGAATTCAGGTCATCATATTTGGCAGCAAGCGCCTTTACCTTATTAACCATATTCCTGGCCCCTAAGATTGTCTTTTGCTTTTAAAGACAAATAGGGAAAGAGTGTCACTCAACAGATAGAATGTAAAACTCAGGTATGATACATTCATTCAGCATTATTTATAAAGATCTTGAGTAATTTGGAGGATAGTGAACAAAGTTCTAAAGAAAAGACTTTGTAGATTTAGGCTCTTCACTTCTCTGTCAGTCATGATCCTCTAAAGTGAGATACATCCTGTGGTGGTTTGAAAGAAAATGTCCCCCAAAGGGAGTGGCACTGTTAGGAGGTGTGGCCTTGTTGGAGGAAGTGTGTCTCTGTGGGGGGGGTGGGCTTTGAGGTCTCTTTTGCTCAAGCTTTTCTCAGTGTGACTTCAGTTAATCTAATGTTGCCTTCAAGATGTAGGACTCTCCGCTCCAGCCTGCATGCTGCCGTACTCCCTGACATGATGATACTGGATTAAGCCTCTGAAACTAAGCCGGGTGGTGGTGGCATACTTCTTTAATCCCAGCACTCAGGAGGCAGAGGCAGGAGGGTCTCTGTGAGTTCAAGGCCAGCTTGGTCTACAGAGTGAATTCTAGGACAGCCAGAACTATAACTCAGAGAAACTTTGTCTTGAAAGCCACCCCATCAAAACCATTTTTAAAAAGAAGACACGACTCTTAATTAATTAGTAATTTTAACTTTTTTTCTCTAGCCTAAGACTAAAAACACCGGTCCTGTAAACAAGGCTCAAAACAGACTGTACTCTGCAGATAAAGAAAGGAAAATAAATGCAAGGTACAGTATGGTCTGTAAGCATGACTTTCTTTTTCAGTTTTACAATCTGCCGAATCAGCATTCTTAGTTATAAACTTTGTTTCTCCCTATTTTTATAAAGCCTCTGATATAAAGCTACTGCACATATCCCGTCATACTCAGTAACTTAAAGCATTTGCAACTTGGAACTGTTTACAGCAGTTAATAAACATTTTATGTTCTCTAAAACAAAATCATTACCTTTCCATAAATTTTACTGTTGTTTTTAATGAGACATTATTGAAACTGGGACTGAGATCTGGGTTTTATTTTGTTGAAAGATTTTTTTTTAAAAATTTTATGTCTACATGTGTGTTTGTGTGAATGTGTGCCATGTATGTGCAAGTGCCCTTGAAGACCAGACACGGTGTCAGAAGCCCCAGAGCTGGAGTTACAAGTGCTAGTGAGCTGCCATATAGGTGCTGGGAGCCAAACTTGGGTCCTTTGCAAGGACAAGTGCTCCTAAATGTTAAGCTACCTTCTGGCTCCTGGGGCCTTGGTTTTTGGATCATTCTACTAGGTTCTTAAAATTAAATTGTCTTCTAGTTCTTGACTGCTTGACACAATGCCATACATTATTGTGTTTGTGAGATGGGAATGGTTTGATATAACTTAGGTATGTCATAATTCTATTTACATTCTGCTGTTTTGTTTGTTTGTTTGTTTTTTAACTAGTGCAAGGCTACCCTTAGGATCATAAGCATGTCTTCTTGAGACTGGCTATAATGAATTTTTTTTTAATAAAAGGAAAAAGAATTAGGTTATAACGACTAGTAAGCTATTTAATCTTTATGTCTATGACTGATCCTAGCCGGTAATTACATTATAATAATGGGAAAATCTTAACTCTTGTGTCTTTTAATTGCTTAAAAGGGGAAAAAATAGAATTGAAGGGATAAAAGATAAAATTAACAAAACAGCCTGAAGAGATCATTAGCTAAATTGCATGTATCTCTGCAGAATTCCCTTGTCCATTTGTCATAGTCACTATTTAAATAAAAGGTAGTTATTGCAAGAATTTGGAAGCGTTTGCCTTCATGGTAAAAGTAAGCTGAGCTTTTGCAATCAGTCTTGGTGACATCTCAATTTCTTTCTCCTGGTTCAGTCCTCCATGCTTTTGGAAGTGAGTTTCACTCCCTAATTCTTCCTCCACTTAATGTTAAAAAGTTAAATCCAACATTTTGATCAATTTTGATTCTTGTCAGAATGTGTCCCTATATGGAAAATAAACGATGAGTTTGATGATTCTGAGGACCTGGTCTTTTTTTTTTTTTTTTTTTTTTGCTTTGTTTTTCAAGACAGGGTTTTTCTGTGTAGCTTTGTAGACCAGGCTGGCCTCTAACTCACAGAGATCCACTTGCCTCTGCTTCCTGAGTGCTGGGATTAAAGGCATGCACCACCACTGCCCAGCAGTGGTAATTCTTAAGAGATGAAATTCTCCCCAGTTTTCAGTGTCAGGACAGGGCAGCATCACCTTGGACAATCCTCTGCAGCACGCAAAACTAAAACCATAGGCTGGATCTGACCAGTAAACCTAGATTTCCCCTTCATCTTTTTAATTAATTTTTATTTAAATTAAATCAATCTCCCCTCTCCTTCCTGTCTTCCCGCTTCCCCCATCGTCCCCCCCCCATAGATTTCATCTTAAGTTTAGTTTTATAACAGGTTTATAACTGCTTTGTTGTTTGGGCAAAGCTCCACGTGCCCCCCCTCCACACCATACCATCTCTGCTCATGTGTGTTCGTGCTTTACTTCTTAGTGTTAAACTGAAATGTCCCAGTGTGCAGACTGCCAGTGATGTGGCCATCCCAGATGATTTCTCAGACTTCTCCCTTGCCAAGACAATTAGCAGAATTGAAGGGCAGCTGGAAGAAGACAGCTTGCCAGAGTGTGGAGATGACATTTTCTGTGGTGTTAGTAAGGACATTGGGACAGGTAGGTTTTCTTCTTCCTTCCTTCCTTCCTTCCTTCCTTCCTTCCTCCCTCCCTCCCTCCCTCCCTCCCTCCCTCCCTCCCTCCCTCCCTCCTTCCCTCCCTTCCTTCCTTCTTTCCTTCCTTCCTTTCTTTCTTTTTCTTTTCTTTTTTGGTTTGGTTGGGGTTTATTTTTGTATGTTAGTTTTTGGAAACAGGGTTTCTCTGTGTAGCCTTGGCTATCCTGGAATTCACTCTGTAGACCAGTCTAGCCTTGAACTCACAAAGATCTGCTTGTCTTTGCCACCCAAGTGCTGGGATTAAAGGCATGAGCCACCAGCACCCAGCTTCAAATGAGTTTTAATGAATACAAATTTCCTTTCTGGTTAACTTACACACTGCACACAAACAGAAAAAGCACTGAGTTTTAATCATCTAAAAGAATTGTATTCATTAGCAGCAGTGCCTCTAAAATTACTGAAATTATGAGGAACCACCTGTGCTTCTGGAAAAAAACCCAGAACAATTGAGTGTGTGAGCATACTTTGAACTGTCATTTGGCTGTACAATGATTCTGTATATGCAGTATGGTTAGCTGTCACTCCAATCTGGCTGCCTAGCCTCTCTGATAGCAGTTTCTCCATTTGAGAATTAGAGTTGGTTAAATGATGTCTTGATGCATCACAAGAGGCTGAGAGCATGTCTTTTTAAAATACATTTTATTGTTCACACATTAAAAGTGGTAGTGGGGGGGCAACTCACAGCAATGAATCTTAACAACCTGGCTCTAGGTGATGCCACCAGAATCTGAAGGTGGGGTTGACTCAGTAGCACAAAACAGGTTGCAGGTCTGCTAGCTCTGTGCATATCAGAGCACCAGGACTTCACCTGCAGTGCGGGAAGGGCAGTGAGTGGGTGCTGGCTCTGAGGGAGACGATCCTTCAAAGCGACTTTGCTTGAGCTCAGTAGAAACCAGAGAGTCATGCTTGAGTTGTGTTTAGCCATTCAGCCAGGGTGCCAGACAGTCAGCAGTCGCCAAGGTCACTGAAAAGAGTCCCTTATTGCTAGCACAGTGGCTTGTATGCACTGAGGTACGTTGGAGACCAGTTTCTGTTGAGCTGCCTGGTCCTTCTGTGACTTTTTGTCCCCTGCTTCTGATGGCCGTGGGCCACCTGCTCCCAGGGCATTTCTGTGTCCACCCAGGTGCTTGCTTCTGCTGACAGCATGTTCTGATGGTCAGGATGTTTAGCAGGAGTATCTCCATCTTATTTTCTTCTGTTTAGTCTTAAGTGTTCACCACAGATGAAATCCTAACAGGTGTGTAATGATGACTGAGTGACATCCTAGTCAGTCATAGTGGAAAGCAATTCATTTATGCATTTGTAGCATTTATCAACCTAATCAACCCTCTGGGACCATTAGTAATCGAGTCAGGAAGTTGGTTGTCACTTCAGATACCTTCCAGGACATGGTGGACAGATGTTTGTTCCTGGAGACAGTCACCCACTACCCTGTTAAAGGACAGAGATGCAGAATTTGAGGACTAGCTGCAGGCTTTACCATGAATAGCGCTCCTTCCTGTAGCCACTGTCTTGGCATCTTCCCCCCTCAGCGTGCTTGCCCTGGGCATCTTGCACCAGGGAGGATATTCTTGTACTCTAGATGCTTGCTTAGAATGTCTGGGTTATGGGTGGGATAGAATGATCTGGAGTCAGATGATAAGATCTGAAGCCTTATTTTTGCTAGAGAGGGTTGTTTGTTCTGTCAAATTCTTGAGCATTGCCAGCCTGAGACCACCATAAATTCTGGTTGATATCTTTTGGATCACTGTCATAGGCGTGAGTGCAGTTTGTAACCATACACGAGCATCGGCTTGTAGGTGTGGTTCTTAATAGGAAGGGTTTTGTCCTTGTTCCTTTGTCTTTACTCATTCTCCATGGTCTGTGTGTCCAACTGTCCATGTTCTTTTCTCTTGTCCAACATGGGGAGTGTTTAATGTTTATAGTGTTTCTACCATGCTCTCCTGTTAGCCTGCCTACTTTGACTGTGTTTTACTCATAAAATATATTCTGCCTCCCAGTTGATGATGTCTTAGACTTGGTTAAAAAAGAAAAGAAAAGCAGTCATGTAATGATTTGACTCCACAGAGGCTCAGATCAGATTTCTGAAGGCCAAACTCCATGTGATGCAGGAGGAACTGGACAGTGTTGTGTGCGAGTGCAGTAAGAAGGTAAGCTTGTGTGGCGTCTCACAAGGATGCTCTACTGAAGACACCAGGGACAGCTGTAATTATATTATTAGGTAGCCTTACTTAGATTGTAATCCATAGTTAAATATCATATTGAAAAAATGTATAGAAACACCAGACTTTATTCTGAAATGATGATTTACCACAAAGCTTGAGAATATATCAAAATTGTTGAAATTAGAATTTACTGTTTTAGACTTGCCAGATAATAAGCTATTTATTATAAAATGCCTGATTTCTATTTTTGCTAGTGAATGTGGAATGGCCTTTATTTTTCTCAGGAATTCATGTAAATATCTCATCAAAGGCTGTCCGAGGCTCTTTGTTTTCTACTATGTGTTTTGATGTCAGCTCTTGTGTATTTTTTTTTTTATTTGATTGATAATGTCATTGATTGTAGGATGATGAAATTCAGGATTTAAAGTCCAAGGTGAAAAATTTTGAAGAGGACTGTGTAAGACAGCAACGAACAATTACTTCACAGCAGTCTCAAATAGAAAAATATAAGAGTCTTTTTGAAGAAGCAAACAAAAAATGTGATGGACTACAGCAGCAACTCTCATCAATAGAGAGGGTAAATTTTGCCTCATCTCCTGACTCAGGTCTGAGGACACATTGATACTATTAGAACTACACTCTTGCTAGCTGTTCAGTTATTAATATTTATAGAAAAACATCCCCCTTAAAAGAATATTTGACAACTCTTTGAGGTATATATACTTTTTCACCTCCTAGTAAAGTTTGCAGTTGAGTGGCTTTTAGTATATTCTTGAATTCATGTATCCATGATCTCAAACATAGAACATATTTATAGCCTCCAAAAGATGACTCTTACCCTTCAGTCTCCACACCCCACAGTTCATCCATGCCAGCCCTTGGTTACTACTCCTCTATTTTCTGTCTCAGGAGATCTCTCTGTTCTAGAAATTTCCTTGCAAATAGATTCAAATAATATACAGTCTTTGTGATTGACGTCTCTTTTGCAGAAATGTTTTTTTTTCCTGTTCATGTTACAACACTAATTGTTTAATTCTTAATTGTCAAGTATATTCCATTGTGCAGGTATAACACATTTTTAAATTTATTATTTATTTATCTTGAAATGCTGGGATTGAAGCCAGTGCCTTTCACTGTTTCCTAATGCTTTTATGTCACTCTGCTCCCTGCCAACAGCAAGAGGGTCCCGTCTCTCCACAGCGTCGCCTGCCCATCTTAAGTTATCCTTGTGGTTACAGTATCCCACTGGCATGAATGAGCATGGGTTGAGCCTCCCTTTCCCTAGTAACTGATGATGTTACTCATTTTCCATTTATATATCTCCTTTCTCTCTCTCTCTCTCTCTCTCACACACACACACACACACACACACACACACACACACACGACCGTTGTGGCCCATGTGCATAATATAAACATACACTTGGACACATGCAGTAAAGATATTTAATAAAAATCATCTTTTTGGCTGGGTGTGATGACCTCTGCCTTTAATGCCAGCACTTGGGATTTATAGGCAGGTGGATCTCTGAATTCAAGGCCAATCTTTTCTACATATCAAAAAAAAAAAAAAAAAAAAAAAAAAAAAAAAAAAAAACAAACAAAAAACAAAAACCCCAACTTCATTTAGGAATGTCTTAAAAACAATAAAATGTATTTGTTGTAAATACAAACTTTAGTGAGTGAGTTTGTCAAAGCCGAGAGCACAGACTAAAGTCAAACAAATAGTTTGGTTCCTGCCCTGCCACTACCTTGTTACTGGCAGTTTGCCTGGCCATTCGTGCTCAGCTTTCCTTTCTACAGTATGTTTTGCCTAGCACACACCACTGAAAAGATGTGCCTTTGCTCCCACACAAAGGACTAATCTAAGCCATGTTGTCCTCTGACAGGCCAATCCACTGGATAGGATGGATGTGACATTAACACCCAATTCAGCTAACATAACGAAAATTCCTATCCCTGCCAGTTTCCTTTACGTTCTTTCCCATAGTCTCCAGCCTCTGAGCACCATCCCAGGCAGATGGTGAGCCACATTCTTCTGCTACACATTGGTTTTTTTTGTTTTTGTTTTTCTAAGATTTTTTTAAAAATTCATTTTATATACCAATCACAGTTCCCCTCCCCCCTCCTGTTCCCCTTCCCCTAGCCCCTTCTAACCCACCCCCACCCACTCCTCAGAAGGGGTAAGGCCTCCCATGGGGAATCAACAGGGCCTGGTGACACATTCAGTTGAGGCAGGACCAACCCTCCCCCACCTCCCACATCAAAGCTGAGCAAGGCATCCCACCATATGGAATGGGCTTATGCACCAGGGATAGATCCTGGTCCCACAAACAGACCAGGCTACAAAACTGTCACCCACATGAGAGGGCCTACTTCAGTCCCATGCCTAGCTGTTGGTCTGGAGTCTGAGCTCCCACAAGTTCAGATCAACTATCTCTGGTTTCCCCATCATGATCTTGACCCCCTTTGCTCTTATAATCCATCCTCCCTCTCTTTGACTGGACTCTGGGAGCTTGGCCCAGTGCTTAGCTGTGGATCTGTAAATCTGCTTCAATCAGTTACTTGATTAAGGTTCTATGGTGACAGCTAGGGTAGTCACCAGTGATGACACGGGAAGGCCAGTTCAGCTGGGGATTCCTGGGAATTTCCCTAGCATCAGGTTTCTCCCTAGCCCCATAATGGCTCTCTTTATCAATATATCTTTCTTTGCTCTCCTACTCCATCCCTCCCCAAACTCAACCATCCCGATCCCACCTGTTCTCATTCCCCATCTCCTCCTTACCCCTCCCACCCCCAAAAGATCTCACCTTATAAAATTTCATATAGATGTAATCATAAATGCACACTTTCTGTGTCTGGTCACTTTTGTTTAGCAGTTTTATTGTTTTTGTTTTTATACGTTATGACATCACTGTGTTTCCATTTTTCAAGGACACAAGTCTTTGTGAGTATAAATCTGTTACCATGATGTTGGATAACTACCTATGAGCAGGACTTCTGAATCTTATGAAAAAGTCCATGTTAAAACTTTTAAGAAACTGCCAGGTGTGGCACTACCTGTGATTAATCTCATTACTCAGAAGGCAAAGTCAGGAGGATTGACTTAGTTAGTTTGAGGCCAGCAGGAGTCCTGCAGGGTTGTGACCATGTTCCCAGTATGCATGAGGCTCCGTCAGCAGCATGGCCTCAGCTCTTTGCAGTGTGACGTGTGACTTTTATCCCCTTATCTATTGGTATTGCTCTTGTCATGTGCTGTGTGGTGTGCTTCTCTGAGGTTCATCTGTGCATGCCTCAAGACCAGGCTTCCTCTGCAACCCCCTCACTAGAAGCTTGGGTATTGTGTACAATCTTTTGTCCTTTGATTTTTATCTCTTTTTAAACCATGTGTTTCCAAAGGCAGAAGTTTTACATCTTTGATGAATTCTATATATTATTATTTTCTTGCAATTTCTGGTTTTTCATTCTGCCCAGAAACTTTTGCCTGCTCCAAAGCCATGAGGATCTTTCTTCTAGGCATCTCACGAAGTATCAGCACCATATGAATCATATACATGTGATCTATTTCAAGTAAATTTTATGTACAGTATGAAATAAATATGTTTTGCCATGTAGGTAATAACTGATTTCCCTCTATTTTACTATCATACCATTCAGTTCAAGACTTTTAAATTGAAGACTTAAGATTTTTCCATAAAAGTTTTACCTGGTGATATGTGAAGGTTTTTTTTTTTTTTTTTTTTTTTTTTGCTTGTTTGTTTTGGTAGCAGCAGTTTTGTGTGCGGGAGACAGAGGCAGATGGGTCTCCATGAGTTTCATATAGCCTGGCCTACATATTGAGAATGTGTCTCAAAAAAAAAAAAAAAAAAAAGTTACCAGTGTGTGACTGAAAACAAATGTTTTCAAAGTTTGAACTTGGCGTTCCCTTTCTTTAGTGGATTCTCATGCTCTCAAGGAAGCAAGCAATGGTCTTCAGTTTTCTGAGAAGGAAGTTGCAGTTACCAGACAAGGAGACGGACAAAGGTTCATTGCATTCTTCTCATGCAGGCTGGTGTGAGGCAGTAAGCACCATGGGCTTGAAGACTAGTAGGCATTTTTTGCCTTTTCCATGTGATCAGTGAGAGAGCTGACAAGCTCCCATCGTAGCTGCCTCCCACAAAGCTGTGCAGAAGGCTGTGGCAGCAGATGGCAGACAGGCGCAGCTTGATTTGTTTAGAGGGTTACATACGGAGCAGCGTGTGTTTTGTTTTGTTTTTCCCTTTAATTACTCAAAGCCACAGAGATAAGTTTCAAAAATGACATGGTATAGCCAAGGAAGAGATATCTAAAAAGACAAGTATTGCATCAAAGTGAGCTCCAGCGCTTCAGGGAGCCTCTGGGCCAGCCAGGCCGTGTGTTACGTGGGATACAATGGAGGTATTCAGTTTACAAGACAAGCCTGAGCCATTTGTTTATTTATGTGTATGTGTATGTGTATGCCTGCTTACCTGTATATGCAGCATGTGCCTGTGGTGTCCAAGGCCAGAAAAGGGCAGCAGATTCCTGGAACTAGAGTTCAGGCAGTTGTGAGTCCCAGTACAGGAGCTGGAAACCAAACTTGGTTCCTCTGCAAGAGCAGCAAGTGCTGTAACCACTGATATGTCTCTCCAGCTTTTTAAAAGATGTTGTTCTTTTACATGCAGCTACAATGCTGGGACTGCAGGAATAAAAATAGTTGATAACCTTAAAAGTTTACACTTCAGTGGGAGAAACAAGCAAGGGAACGGTTTTAGTACCTGCAGCAAATGGTGTGCTAAATCTGTATCAGGATGCTCTGGAAGCCCTGAAGAAAAGGTACCATACCCAACCATGTCAGCTGTGAGGACTAGGGGCAATACCAGGAAGGAGCTCAAGCCTTACTGGGTTCCCAGGTAGAGTTTGGGCACCATGAGTAGGTGCTAATTAGGTGTTTGTGGACTGGAGGCAGAAAACTCCATGTCCAGGGAGAGACGGAAGCAGGTGCTCTTGAAGCCCCTCATAGAGCATGTGTGGCAGGGGAGGGGCTGGTTGTCACAGTTTACAGTTCATGAGATGGATTTTTGTTTCTTCAAATGTTAACTTTCCACTTTCAGCTGCAGAATATCATAGGCCCCCATAGTTTGCAAGATAAGCCGTTTCTGCTCAGGTTGGATAATTCCCAGTGGGGCTATTGTACAGACCTCCATCTATCCTTTGTTTCTTCAAGGTGTAGACTTTGTCAGTTCTCCCCAAGAGCAGTATTTATGGGCAAGTGATGTCTTACATTGGTCTTTTGGGAGGTTTCCAGAAGACTTTGAGTGCCTATGAACTCAGCACTCAGGAGGCAAACACAGAAGGGTTGAGAGTTTCAGCCCAGCCTGGGCACACATACAGCAAGATCCTATCTCCACAACAGTGCAGTTTAAAAATGTTTGCTCCTAAAGTAAATATGGAGAATGATGATACTGTGTTTTGAGTCAATAGGAGGCAGAAAATACTAAACAAAAGAGCAACATTTCATGTGGCTGGAGAGATGGCTCAGTGGTTAAGAACACTGGCTGCCTTTCTAGAGGACCCAGGTTCAATGCCCAGCACCCACATAGTGGCTCGCAACCGTCTTAACATGAGCTCCAGGGGTCTGGTGCCTTTTTCTGGGCTCCAAAGGCACCAGTCACACAAGTGGTGCAGAGACATAATACATGCAGACAAAACATGCCTCATACATAGACGAAACAAACCTTACACACACACACATACACACACACACACACACACACACACACACACACACACACACACACACCCTAAAGGATAAAAACAAAAAATTACAAAAACATTCATAACCAAATTTTTAGGTGTCTTTTTCTAATGCCAGTTTTGGGTGAGAATCCCCTGAGAACTGTGTCTCTTAATGCTTGGCCCACAGCCCTGTGAGTGAGAGCAAGCATGGAAAGGAAAAATATAAAAGGGAACTGATGATATTTTAAAACTCCATGTTTTTAAATACACAGGAATTAGAAAGCAAAAGAAGATTACAAAAACAGGCTGCTACAAGTCAAAGTGCCACAGAAGTCCGCCTGAACCGAGCTCTAGAAGAGGCAGAAAAGTATAAAGTGGAGCTGAGTAAACTAAGGCAAAGTAACAAGGTATGCAAACCTGAGTAGAGTAGCTGCCGCAGTGCTCGCCCTTGGGGTCCTCTCCCTCTGCCAGCACTGGAAACCATGTTTATTGACTCATTGCGGGGTCGGGTGGTGGAGTAGGGTGGGGCCCACATGGAGGAGTTAGCTGTCTCCTTCCACCTTTGTATGTGCAGTTGGGGTATCTAACTTAGGTGGTGAAGCTTACATGTTAAGCCTTTACTCACTGAGTCATCTCACTAGCCAGGAGACCGATCTCACTGGCCATGTGGATATTAAGATTTCCCTCTGCTGGGCAGTGGTGGCTCACAACCTCTAACCCCAGTAACACTCAGGAGGCAGAGGCAGGTAGATCTCTGAGTTCAAGGCCGGCCTGGTCAACAGTACGAGTTCCAAGACAGCCAAGGCTACACAGAGAAACCCTGTCTCAAAAAAAAAAAAAAAAAAAAAAAAAAATTTTTTTTCTCATGTCATGATCAATGTTCCACTTTTGGAAAAAAATTTTTTTTTAGTAATAGGTACATTTTCCATTAGTTAGGATTTTCCACTAATTGGGATTTTGTTTGGGCTGTTATAAGTGGGTAACTGTACAACTCTTTGGAGGATTCCTTCATTTTTTCACATAATCTTTAGAGGGTCCTTTATTATATATCAGATTCTTCCTGGACCTTGTGGTTAAGCAATGAAAAATAAGCATCTTTTGTATGTCACCTGCTACCTTCTTCTCTGAGCCTCAGGCTATGCTATGCATAGGGATGGGTTGTATTTAGGGTCACAGTTCTGAGCCCTGCGCTCAGGGAGTAGGCTTTGTGAAATACAGACCACTGGGCCCTAGCCTTGGAGTTAGTCTCTTCAGCAGGTCAGAGTGAGGCCTGGAAATCACAGTCTTGCTATTGGTACTAACACCTGTATCAGATGGGTAAATACCACTCATATCTCTATGGTCAGTGTAGTAGTCAGTCATTGCCTTGAATATCCATTGAGTGAATGCAGCTAGATATTGATGTGAGAACCTTTCGCATGTTCTGTGAAATTAGTTCTCCATCAGCCTCATGGAATTGCTTCCTTATGACAACATTTAGTGCCTTAACAATGACTTCAGAACCACCTTCATAACTGATGGTACATTCTGAATTTTCTCAGTAACATTGGCTGGAAACAGAGGCCTTGACTCACGTTCTGAAATGATTAGCAGAAGCCAACAACACATGACCCCTTAACTACAGCATTTTAATGAATCCATCTAAGGCACTATCAATGATGACCTAACTGAAATAAGTCATCTTCACATACCAACACTCAGCATGTTAAAACTTAGTAAAAGGAAGAGTAACTGTGCATCAGGATTTGCTGTTCTGGTTGTTGATGTGATCTCTGATTTGCCACACACATTAGGAAAATAAAAAGGAAAATTATTTTTTTGGCAACAAGTAACTTTCATTCTATCCAGCAATATTGAAAATTTGGTAGCCAGTAGTGGTGGCACATACTTTTCAGGCAGATTTGTGTGAGTTCAAGGCCAGCCTGATCTACAAGGTGAGTTCCAGGACAGCCAGGGCTACACAAAGAAATCCTGTCTAGGAAAACTAAAAAATTAAAACTTAAAAAAAAGACTTGGTATGTGAACACCTCCATAAGCTACCAACGTTACAAAAACTTGGATGTGTGCAAAATTGACTCAAATTATTTCAAAGTTTCAAAAGCTATTTTAGTGAGACCTCCTGTTAAAAAACCAAAGAGAAAAAAAGAAACTTACTTCCTAATGACTCATATTTTTTAATTTTTACTTATTTGTATGTTTTTAGGACTTATCTCTGGGTTATGTTTAGGCTCAAGGATAGTTTTGTTTTCTCTTAGCATCTAATCTCTTTGGTGAGAAGAAAAGTTATTTTCCCATTTAACCCTTTGTGTCTTCTTATTCCTCTTAGACATAAGACTAGGTAAGTTAACTTTCAGATCTGTATGTTTAAAACATGACAAGAAAATCATAAGGTTTACATAAAACAGAACAAGATTTTCCCATAGCCGTCAGAAAGATAAAGATTTTTTAAAAAATATTGACAAGCTATTCTCTACAGAGGCTAGGAAATAAAAAAATTGTTTTTAAAATAAAAGTAACCTTTTGAACTGGTCAGTCACCCTTGTTTTTGGTGTAAGGCCATGGTGTGTGTGCTATGTTATATGTACGCATGTGCACACGTGTACATTCACACATTTGTGTTTATGTGTATTGCATGCCAGAGGTTGACACTGGGTGTCTTCCTTGATCATTCTACCTTAGTGACTGAGGTCTCAACCCTGAACCAGAACTGGCTGCTTCCTTTCTTTAACCTAAACAGCTTACTCATAGGATCCAAACTCTGCTCCTCATATTTATCCGATGGCCCATTATCTGAGTCTTTCTTTTCTACTCTCTTTGGAATCGTAACTGTTCCTGAATGTCTCATAAAAGACCCCCACACCTGGCACAATTGTCACTGTGGAACCTTCTGAAGGAAAGAGTGGTGAAATGGACCTCTACTTAGAAATGAGGCATTTGATGAGATGGTTATTTGAAATATGGACTCAAAGTCCATGAAACTCCATTTGGAAGCGATAACTTCTACTTTCTTTTAAATTTATTTAGAACGGTTTATGAGGTCCCGTTAGGTACTGTACCCCCAGGGGTTTATGGGAGGTTGTAGATGGATGGAGTTAAGAATCAAATGTAGTCCTTGCATTCATATACCCAAGTCGACTGAGTGCACAAGTTAGATGCTTAGGTAATCAGTCAGGCAGAGTCCACAAGAGAGAAGCTGTGGAGGGTACATCGTGTTCTGAGCAGGTAGCCAGACCATGGCATTTGTTTTCTGAATGTAACGTAAGCTAATATTGGAATAATTGGTAGCAGTTAGGTGCCAAGGAAAAGATTATGAACAGAAGGAATAGTGTGTGGAAATGGCATACACACATAATTCAGGTGACTGAGGAGGCCAGGGGAGTGTTGGATCCCTGGAGCTGGAGAGAACCACAGTCTGTTGTGAGCTCCCTGATGTCAGTTGGGAACTGGATCCTTTGCAAGAGCAGTTAGTTCATTCCACCAGCTCCAGGACTTTTTTACTTAAATTTTTTTTTTTCTCTTAAACTAGGTACTGCCATCCCTAAAATAAGACTTGAGTAGGTTTAGTGAAGGGCAGTTGTAGTACATGCCAGTAAGCAAAATAGTGAAGATCTCCCATATGTCAGCCCACAACCACCTGTAACTCCAGGCCCAGGTTTAAAGACATGAGCCACCGCCGTCTGGCTACACATCTTTTAACTATATGCAGACAACACAGATAACCTATGAACTTTTTAAGCAGTTATCTTACCCTCTCTGCCATTGTATTAATTTTTTTTATAAAGTACACATAAAATTTACATTCTTAAACTTTTTGTCTTTATGTTTTGGTTTTTTAAGATAGGGTTTCTCTATGCATAGCGGTCTGTCCTGGAACTCACTTTGTAGACCAGGCTGGCTTAGCACTCACAAAGATTGAGATTTTGCACACCTCAAATTATAAGCATCTTGTGTTCAGCATCTTGCATTTAATAACCATTTGTCTGTTGTCTTCTTTAGCGAAACATCCAGTCAAGTGCTTTGTTAATTTTTACGTTTTATTGTGTATTCTGAACATTAAGCCTAATGCAGATGTGTGCCTTGTAGATACCTTCTCCCACTCAGCAGACTGCCTTTTCACCATTTACTGTGCCCTGTGTGCCCTTCTTTTCATACAATCCAGATTACTTTCTCTTCATTATCCTGATTCTGTGCCATCCATTAAATCTTTGCCAAACCCAGTGCCATTAAGGTTTTTAGTTTCAGCCTTTTTGCTAGTCTTTATTCCATTACACACACACACACACACACACACACACACACGCACGCACGCACGCACGCACGCACGCACGACGCACGCACACACAGAGTACTTGCTGTTTTTGCAGAGGACCCAGATTCTGTAACTCCAGCTGACACCTTCTGTATGAGGTGCACAGGTTACATGCCAGCATATCATTCATACACATAAATAAAACTTAGGGGAACAGAAAGGAAAATAAATATAAGTAAATGGCATGGACCTCAGATCAAATGATTGTTTTCTTCCCCCACAAGAAAGGACAGTCTCTTGAAAAAATGATGCTAGGAAACCGCGACCTATATTCATGTGTGTGTGTGTGTGTGTGTGTGTGTGTGTGTGTGTGTGATTAGAACAGATACACTTTTCTAATTATTCTAAATATATCAAGAAGCATTATTTTTGTATGTATTCATTCACTCATTAATTTTGATGCTGTTGTAAATGGAATTGTTTTCTTAGTTCTTTTCCTGAGATGCTCACTCTTAGTATGTTCGTAGAAGCAACCTTTTTTGTCTGTTGCTTTTGTAACCTGCAGCATTGCTGAATGCATTTCTTGGTTATCTTTTCCTGTAACTCTTTAGGGATTTGCACATCTGGGATCTTGTCATCCACTGTAGATGTTAGTTGTTCTGTCCCAATTGCTTGGGCTGTGTGTGACAGAAATGACTGAAGCCAGCCAGTGCCTTCATCCTGATCCTGACCAAGTGACAGCTTTCAGTCCACAGTGAGCGAGCCGTGGGCTTTTCATATGTGCCTGTTAGTATCTGGGGTCGTTTTCTTCTGTTTAACACTTATTTTTCTCATGAAGAAATACTGACTCTTGTCTAATACTTTCAGTGTCATCAGAGATAACCATGTGGTGTTTCTCCTTTATTCTGTGAATGTGGAATATTGGCATATTAACATTAGGTTTTGTGTTGAACCATCCTGTGCTGGCAGTAGATTTCAGTTGGTTATTTATAATCCTCTTACTGTACTGTTCAGTTTGTTTTGCATCAGATTCCATCAGTGATACAGATCTGAGGTTTTCTTGTAATGCCTTCGGTCTGACTTTGGATTTTGAGTAATGTTTCCTTTGTTGATAGTCACAAGGAGCAAACTGTTTTTAATTTTGGTTTCTCTGTTCTATTAATTCACTTAATATTTACTGTTTTCATTTCTGCTTCATTCATTTTGTTTTTCTCCCTACTATGAAGGTTTAGGTTGATTTGGGATCATTCTTCAATGTATCATGGCTGTGACCATCCTGAATATGAATGTCATATTTTCTATGTGTTGGTGCTTAGATTTTCTAATATTCTTTGAAAATTGGGTACTTTGAATTTAATATATTAATTTGTTTTTTAAAATTATGTATTTTGTATGTATGAGTGTTCTGTCTCCATATACACTTGGATGTCAGAATGAGCCACCATGTGGTTGCCAGGAATTGAACTCAGGATCTCAGGAAGAGCAGCCTTAAACCACCGAGCCATCACTCCAGACCCTATGTTTTGGTTCTTGAATGTCCCCAAAAGCTTCCGTTGAAGGCTTGCTTGGTACTATGCCTGGGCTACCGAGAGGCGGGGACCCTTTAGGAGATGGTCCCTGGTGTAATGACATGGGTTGGGGGTGTGCTTTTGAAGGGAATATTGGGAACTGTGCCTGTTCCTGTTTTTTAGCTTCTTTGAAGTCCAACGTTGTCCTCTGCTGTGTGCTCTGACCTTCACATACTGTGCTCCACAGGCCTAAGGCCCCTGTGCCCAGGGACAGTGGACTGGCATTGCTGAGGCTGAGCAAAGCAAGCCGCCTCAGGTTGTCTGTCCCCGGCATTGTGCCACCATGCCAGGAAGCTGACTATGTGCTTTGTTCACACTTCATTTCCAGCTCAATCCAGTTACAGAAGACACTGTATGATTTCTGTCTTCTTGAACTTGTCAAGATTTATGGTTACCATGATTTGTTCTGGAAAATGAGCTGGTGGAATTTGAGAAAACTGTTTTCCTTTTTTGTTGGGAGAAGTATCTTAGTTCCAATTCATTTGCAGCCCATCTCCTTATTGTCTAGTGACTATGCATGACTAAAAGATACTGAAGTTTCTTTTATTGTAATGACCTCTCCCTTTGAATTTGTTCATGTTTGCTGCTTAGGTTTGGGCATGCTTATGTTTGGTACACAAGTAATTGTAGAAAATGGACCCTTCATAATTTTGGCTGGGAAATGGCTCTACAGACATCAGACAAAAAAAAATAGGCTAATTAATTTTGTCTACTATTTGTGGATTATCTTCTATCCACCATACTTGTCTTTGGGCTAAAATCAGTTACCTAATGATATAGATGGGTCCTGTTGTATTTTAGTTCACCTCTCCCAACTAGTGCAGTTTTAGTTTAGTCACTATAGTACATTACTGTTAAGGTCAGGCTTCTTACTGACATTTTGCTGTTTTCTATATGTCGTCTTTTTGCCTCACATCCTTTAACTAGTTTTTTTGTTTGCCTTTCATTTATGCTCTTTAGTGATTTTGTCATTGGTATGTTTTATGACTTAGCTGTATTAGCTGTAAAGTTAAAGGATCTATTTTAGGCAGTAAATTAACCTTGCCATTTGCAAACTACACTCTTAGGTTCTGCTTCTCCCAGGATGTCACCCTTCACTTACACGTATAGTAGACTCAGTCATCTGTGGACTGTTCCCATGGTCTTCCTATGGTCTTCCTAAGTGTGGCTTTTGCTTGATAACAGTTGCTGGGTCCTATCGGCTCCCTCCACGGATGGGTGAGAGGGCACAAACTCAATGACAGAGACTCGGAGTCAATGAAAGGAAAAACAACCGACTCCTTTATTTAGCAATGGGGCACCTCATATACCCTCCCAGCACCCAGGTATTCTGATCCCTTGATATGGCTGCTTCTCGTTGGCTAAGCACGATTGAGAGCATCATGCTTAGACTTTCTTCAGGAAGAGGGCTTAGACTTTCTTCAGGAAGAGGGCTCTCTTTAAAGTTATTTATGCTCACATTGTTCACTACTGTCCCTTTTAAAAACATGTGGGTGTAGAATCCTAGCTCCTCCTGGCTTCTTCCTCCTCTTGTGAAAGCTGATCTTCTGGACCCTAGTAACCTCTGCTGAGCTGCCTTTACTGAGATTACAGGTTTGCTGCCCTTGTCATTGCTGTGGATTGAGTTCCCTGCTCAGCTCTTTGGAGTAAGTCTTTCACAGGCTCCTGGAACTCTCACCCTGCATGTGACACTTGTTTGCCAATGGTTTAAGAAAAATATGGAGATTTTGAGGGTCTTTCTTGGATTTCCCACCTGGAAGTCAGCAATATCTTGTCAGCTCTGGTCTCTGTCTTCAGCCCTGTAGGACTCCACTGTAAACCCATACATCAGATTCAGAAAGCTAGTTTAATATGTAGCTCTTGCCTCAAAAGGTCATACCACACGCAGATTCTATTACTAAAAATTCTTACGTATTTTAAGTACTGTCAAGTTTAGATTTTTTGAAAATAATTTAAAAATACATTTTGAAAAATTTTAAATAAGGGAGCTGTGATTAAGTTATTACACTTACATTTCAACTAATTTTTTTTCTTTTATAGGATATTACAAATGAAGAACACCAAAAAATTGAAGTGTTAAAATCAGAAAACAAGAAGCTAGAAAGACAAAGAGGAGAATTAATGACAGGGTTCAAGAAACAAATGAAATTAATTGACATTTTGAAAAGGCAGAAGGTAAGTCAAGCAGAAGCTATATCAGATATGCTACAGACCTTTGTTCTGTTAAGTTTAGGGCTTTACTTTGTTTGGAATCTTACACATAAGATTCCTAAAGGCTGGGCGGTGGTGGCACACTCCTTTAATCCCAGCACTCAGGAGGCAGAGGCAGGGGGATCTCTGTGAGTAGATCTATAGAATGAGTGCCAGGATAGACTCCAAAGCTACACAGAGAAACCCCGTCTCAAAAAACAAAACAAAACAAAACGAAACAACAAAAGTACCTAAAGATGGACTATATACATGTAAAGTCACACACATAATATAATATACAGCTTCACTGGTTTAAAAATGTACACTTCATCAAATTTAAATGATAAAATGCAATCCTTTCTGGCTACAGAAAGTGTCATACATGAGAATGACCCACTTTACTGGACTATTTTCCTCATTTTAGTGTATTATTTTCCTCTTGAAACTTTGAATAGCAATACCAAAACACACTGTACCTTTCCTGAAGTGTGACAAAAGACAATAAAGCTCTCTCACTTTGTTTCAAAGATCAGGTATAATAATATTTATTCTTTTAACAGTAGTTTGGTCTTGAGTGTACTACCCATTTAAAATGTTAATTTGTATCAGGTATGATAGCACACACCTTTTTTGTTTTTTGAGACAGGGTTTCTCTATGTAGCTTTAGACCATGCTGGCCTCAAACTCACAGAGATCCACCTGCCTCTGCTTCCTAAGCTGTAGGATTAAAGGGGTTAGAGTCCAGCCTAATCTACAAAGCAAGTTCCAGGACAGCCAGAGCTGTTAAAAAGAGAAATCCTGTCTCAAACTAAATCAAATGAAAATAGTAATAAACATACTTGATCGCATATAAACATAACTTCCCTGCTGTGTGGCTTTCTCTGAATCAGACAATGTATTTTTTTTTTAAACAGATGCATATTGAAGCTGCCAAGATGCTGTCTTTCAGTGAGGAGGAATTTATGAAGGTTCTAGAGTGGGGCACTTCATGACTGAGCATTTGATGCTTGTGAAATAAATTCAGGTATCAACCTGCTGAAATAAACAGAATGTTTGGGAGGACAGTCTGAGACAAAGCCAGACTGCAACACTGGCCTTACTCCTTTTTCTTTAAGACTTTCCTTTTTTACAACTTACCAGACCCAGTAGAGGACAGCAAGATGGCAGACAAGACTCCAGAGATTCACCATCTTGACTGCTGCTTTCAAACAATGATACAATACACCTGGAACCCACATCTGTCTTGCAGGGGCCCTGTGTTCTCATTTTCAGTAATTATGCACACACAAAAATACCTTGAGAAGAGGGGCATGTGACACCTAGGTAAGAAATGACATACCTAGTTGCAAGTGTTAACCTGGGAGGGAAAGATAGCCTTACTTCCTGACAACTCAGGATACATCTGCAAGTGTTACAGCTCTGTAGGGAAGGGTACCCTGACCTGTTAGAAAGTCAGGCTATACCTCCATCCTGCCCCCTCCTCCCCAAAGAGAGCTTACCAGTAGAGGTATCCATTTCTTCCCAGCTCTGGCCCTGGATGTTACTTCTGCTTCATTCTGCTAAAGGGGAAACCCCTGAACAAAGTAGCAATTTGCCCCTGCTCTTGCCAAAAGTTGTTACTTCTGCCCCCCCCCCCACACACACACACAGCGAGCATCCTAGAAGTAGTATCCATTTCTTCTGCTCCTCTCTGGCAAAAGATTTTCACCCAAAATGAGAAGGGATCCAGGAAGAGTGGCTGTCTCTGCTGGGGTGGAGGCCGGCGGCAGAGGGCCATTTATACAGCGCTTCTTAGGGGCAGAGTTTTTCCAAGGAATAGATTTCAGGGAGGGAATTGGTCAGATTTGAGCTCAGATTGCCTTATTTTCCTGCTCAGAGGTTGGTTTTGTGTTCAGTTGGCCAGGGACAGAGTTGGCTCTGGTTTTAGGGCCAAAGTTTGCTTATTTCACTGGTCCTTTTTAATCTTTTGGCTCTAGTTTCAGGGCCAGGATGGATTTCTTTCTTTGGCTCTGGTTCCAGGGTCAGGGTGTTCTTAGGTTCTGGTTTCAAAGCAAAAGTATTTCTTTCACTGGCTCTGGTTTCCGGGCCTAGGTTTTTTTTTTTTTTTTTTTTTTTTTTTTTTTTTGGCCATTTTACCATATACTAATTACAGCAAAAGAAAACTTTATTGAGGAGGGTGAGGGCAATTTTACCCTTCCTTTAGCACAGAGTGACAGGAGAAACTTCATTGGTCTCCAGCACCGGCCCCATAACAGTAAAACTAGCAGACTCTAGGCCCTGAACCAGTAAATTTTCCTGTGCTGGTGGTAAAATGGAACCCATGGTTTCTGTAAGAAGATAGAGTGAAGTTCCAGCCCACATCACTTCTGGCCGACTGCAGTAGCCTGGCATTGTATATGAACTTAGCTGCGATGCCTTAGCTGTGTGCCCTGCCAGCTCCCTACCCCATCCCAGGTGCTATAGCAGAGCAGCATAGATGGTGTTGTAGCACACTGAACTAGCTGTTATGACCCTGGGCTTGAGGCACGATGGAGTGCTGCAGTCAGCTCAGATTGAGACAAGAACTTCTGGACATTCAAGGCAAAGCCTGTTAATGTCTGCCCACAAGGATTAAAAATTGGGGATCATCCCCAAATAAACCAAGGTGCCCAAGGAGATGAACATATCCAGACTGCCTGATGATTCAAATGAGCTGTTGACAGAGATTTGGCAGTTTTTTGCTCTATGAAAATGGGACTTGCCAGGCAAATGGATCTCAAGAATTTGAGGCCAGCCTGGTCTACTGAGTTCAAGGACAGACAGGGCTACTCAGAGAAACCCTGCTCAAAAAACCAAAGGGGACCTGGTTTAAAAAAAAAAAAAAAATGAACAGGAACCAAGAATGTGTCCCTAAAATAGATATTAAGTCAAAGCTATAAAAAGAAAGGCAAAGGAAACCTTACATAATGGTAAAAGGATGAAGTCATCAACAGTAACAGTGGTGAGCATGCATCTACCTACAACAGAGCTAAATTACAGACATTTGCAAAAAGGAAAGACGTGCTGCAATATTACAGTGGCAGAAGACAGCTATTACCCCATATTCAACACCAGATCAGACAAATCAAAAGAAACTGAACTTAGCCAGTACAAGAAAAAAGGAAAAGATCAAAGAAGAAATAAATTACAAAAACACAGGTCATGTAGCCCCAACCTGGAAAGTTAAATCCCAAATACTGCAGAATCCAGCTGTTTTTGTCACTAGTTTGACACTATGGGTGTAAAATATCAAATCTGACTTCATGTGACAGGCTGCAGGTGAACACGGGTTCACTAAAAGTAATGTATAATTATTAAACATAGACAAAGGCCAGTGAACCAGTTCAGTAGAAAGGGCACCTGCCACCACACCTGGCACCTTGATTCATGGAACCCACAACTCCTATAAGCTGTCCTCTGACACACAATGAAAAGGTTAAGAATTAAAGATTTTAATCTCAAACAACAAAGACAAGGAAGGATTAATGCTAGCTGAGCACGGTGGTACCAGCCTGAAACAGCAATGTGCAGGAGGCAGGGGAGGGAGGGAGGGTCAGCAGTGCTGCCCCGAGGGAGCTTGATGCCACTGTGGGTGACGTGACCCTCTGTTGCAAACAGACCAACGAACTTCACATTTAAGAGTCAGGTCCCATTCAAGACAACATATTATGTGTACCTTAAATATTCCAAGATCAAAATGAAAAACAACCACAACAGAAAAATCCCAACTTCTATCCCATACAATTGCAGATACAGCATACTCAGCTCACATGAAATAGCTGATTGTCAAAACATTGTATCAGTAACGTTTAACCCACAGAAAGAAAATACCTATTTAGAGATCCACAGAAAGAAAATACTATTTAGAGATGAAAAAAAAATACCTAGTTAGAGATGAAAAAAGGGATATAACCATTGTACTGTATAGAAAGGATCGTAAGAGTAATATAAATTATCTATGAATAATTTATGCAACACAGAATGAATTAATCTCTGGAGATATACAATCTACCAAGAATGAATTATCAAGAGAAGGAAATCTGAACTGCACCCTGGTGAGAAATAAGGTCAAGGAGATATATCCTTCATAAAAAGTCCCATTGGGAGCTTGAGGGGTGGCTCAGGGTTAGTGTTGCTGCCATTGCAGAGGCCCCAAGTTCAATTCCCAGCACCCATATGACAATTCACAACCACCTATGTAACTCCAGTTCCAGGAACTCAAGGCCCTTTTCTGGCCTCCATGGACTCCTGCACAAACATGGTACACAGACATGCACACAGGGATACACACAAAATATAAACACTTAAGAAAAACCCAGGACCGTCAGGCTTCACTGCTAACATCTACCCAACATTGAGAAGACTAGTTCTTCTCAAACTACTCCAGAATATTGACATAAAGACTTTCCCAAATTTGGGTATGATCTCCTGGATTCTAACACCATGCTAGGACAACAAACAAACAAAACCAAACCAACTCCACAGTTCAGTAACCCTGATCAACTCAGATGCAGAAATGCTCATCATAACATTAGAAAACAACCTACCTAAAGTGGGTTTCATCCTAGATGATTCAACATTCAAGTCAATAAACATGTCACGCTGACAGAATGAAGAAAAAGTTCGTAAGTTCAGTAGAGGAGACAAGCCCAATACTGAACAATACTTCATGACAAACACCGTCAACAAAGTAGATTACAAAAGGAGTGTACTCAACATACGACAAGCACACAGCTAACATACTGAACAGGGAAAAGCTGAAGCTTATACTCACATGATATTTGTGAATCTACAAAGTTTACACTGAAGAATTACAAATAAAACAAAAATTTTGCATAGTTTTTTGCTATTTGTTTTGGGCTGTATTCGTAACTATCCTGACCCCCTGCCAGGATTGTCACAACCAAAAGACCTAGAATCAGACAGTTACGAGCAATGGCTGCTTGCTTTTGCAGGGACTCAGGTTTGCTTTCCAACACCCATATGGTAACTCCAGTTCCAGTGGATATGATGTCCTCTTCTGGCCTTCTTGAGCACTGCATATGAGTAGTACACATACATGCAGGCAAACACATGTAAAATAAATCCTTTAAAAAGAAAAAAAAAAAAAAAAGCCAGGCAGTGGTGGGGTACATGGATCACCGAGTGCAAGGCACTGAGTGTGAGGATAGCATCCAAAGCTACACAGAAGCCCTGTCTCCTAAAACCAAAAGAGAGAAAAAAAAAAAAAAAGTTACACGATACAAAACCAGCATGTAAGATTTGGTAGCAAGAGTAGCAAAACTCACAGGCTCAAGCTATAGCTCAGTGGCAAAGCACACAGCACACATGAGACGCTGGGTTCAATCCCTACATAAGACACACAATGCAAAGTCAGTGGTGGCGTTTTTCATACGCAGATGGCCAGGTATGTAAGAAAATGTACAGTAATCCCAACTGTAGTATCTAACAAAACGAGATTGAAGATGTCTATATTGAAAACTATAAAATATTGATGAAGGAAACCAGAGACAAATAAATAGCTAGTGTCTTTATGCACACTGCCCAGAGAGGTCTAGATTCAATGCAGTCGCTGTGGAAACACCCAGAGCATTCTTCAGAAATGTAATTCACACATCACCAAAGTGACCTTGAGAGTAAGAAGATCCAACAGGCAAATCACCAGCTAAATTCAGAGCCAACAGCAGCAGCTGCACTAATTGAGGGATTAGCGGGGGGGGGGGGGTAAGAAAAGAGCAGAAAGCTCCACCACATTGACCTAAGTAGAGGTTTGGGTTTTGTTTTGTTTTTAATATGACCACAAAAGCAATTACAAAGCTGCACAGCAAAGAAAACTACACAGAGAGGTAACAAACTACAGAATAGGTTAAAAATGTTAAAATATAAAACAAGTATTAGCCTAGCATGGTGGCTGGCACACACCTTTAATCCCAGTACTTGAGAGGCAGAGCAGGCAGATCTTTGGAATTTCCAGGATGGCCAGGGCTACATAGAGAGACTCCCATCTTTAACAAGAAAGAAAACCAGTCATGTATGAACTCTAACTCTATAGCAAAGAGGGAGCACCAGGAAAGATTGGAGGGGCAGAGGGGGAGAAGGGGAGAGGGAGAGAGCAAAAAGGCCTAAACAGACATTTGTTGAAGATGTACAGCCAACCAATAAGTATGTGAAAAACTTAAGCATGACTCACACGGAAATAAACAGTAAAACTACAATGAGCAAACACTGAAGCCAAAGTAAAACAGATGAATATATATATATATATATATATATATATATATATATATTCATCACATCTCTCTCTCTCTCTCTCTCTCACACACACACACACACACACACACACACACACTAGAAATAGGACAGATGGCTCTGCAGTTGGGCACTGGCTGCTCTTGAAAGTCCTCTACACTCACATGGCAGCTCACAACTGTCTCTAACTGCAATCCCAGGAGCTCTGACACCCTCTTCCGGCCTCCTCGAGCACTGCACACACGTGATGTACATACAAACATGCAGACAAATCCCCATAAACATGAAATAAACCTTTAAAAACAATAAAGAATAACATGTTTGAGAGGATACAGAGGCAAAGGAACCATTCAGGCTAGCGGGGGGAATGTAAATCAGTACACACATCACAGCAAACAGCCAGTATGGGGGTTTCTCATGGTGATGACACGGATTATAAGGAATATATCAATTTTAAAGAGCACTGTGTTGAGGAGTTATATGCACTGTCAAAAGGATGAATATATACAAACATCTCTGAATAACACTGGAAACACTGAGTAGTTACCTTCTGTTTGGCCCAAGTGGTTCTATGGAATTCAGGGACACATTGGCATCGTTGAATGCATAGTGAATAAAGTGACTAATTCTGCAGTTAGAGTACAGATGCATTTAATTCTTGTCTAACTATAAATGGTGACATAGGATGTTTTAGAACATGCAGACAGACACTGGGGACCTGCTGTCATCACCTGTAAAACAACAGTTACACTGCCATCTAGTGGTGGTGTCTGAAAAGTTCACGTTTCGTCAACTGCTGGTGCTGATCACTTCTCTTCATAGACTTCACTCCTTTTCTGATAGGCTTTCCTAAACTCTTCACCAAGCATGTCAACATCATCCTCTCTTTTAAATACTCCCTATGAAAAAAAGCGTTTTGTTGGTTACTTCTGAACGTGAGAGTATTTCACTGCATGCTCTTAGGGCTAACATGGGTGGACACAAAGCTAATGAAGCTAGCCAAGATAATGAAATCCATCCAACAGGCTAGCAAAACCTAATTTCCCAAGACTATGGCTTCAAAGTACATCCTGAATATTCTCGATCTGCCCCCTTTCCTGATTTGTCACCTTCAGAATAGAAAGAGCATAAGGGCACAGATCTGTCATCTAACTGCAGCTATGACAGCCCACATTGCCTGGAAGGAATGGAGCTTAGTGCCTTGTACTCTACCCTCATCTAAACGAGCTGTCGTAGTATATGGGGCGGGGGGGGGGGTAAGAGTGAGAAGGCTAGCCTGAGCTAGATAACTGCATGGGTACATTCTTCCTGCCTCAGGTTCTAGCTCATTCTGGGATACTGAATTTAACTCTAATAGGTCATGTCTGCCCTACAGAAGTATTTTCCCACTAAAATGTTGAAATCCAAAAGTTCTCTTAACATTCGTAGTCTGTTTTTATTAAATATAGCAGTCATGGTGGATTTTAACATCGGTCTATCATTTTGTATTACATCTACCTAACTAATTAGAGTGTAGACCCTGTGGCCAGGAATTTTTATGAAGTTTTCTTCTCCTGTTGTTGGTTAGGGACTGAACATAAAACACACACTTGATCCTGCACAGTCAATAAAGACCTCAAACAATAGGACTCGTAGGACTGGATTTATGAACCTCCATGTTTATATGGACCAGAAGCTCATTATTAGCAGTCAATGTGTGTCTCAGATACACATGGAAACCCACTACTTTTCAGAATTACTCTCCAACAATGAGGCTGCCTAATATCTGCCTATAACACAGTCTCCTACAGAGCAGGCTCCTCTCAGACTCAAGCATGTGTGTCACCATTGACGAGGATTTCCAGTTTATCATCATCTTCAGTGTTCGCCCTCCTATAGTTGCTCTAGGGTAGTTTGTTTTTAAGATTTCCCATGCAACAAGGAGAGCAAAGAGCCTCAAACGTTAGCTCAAGGGCCAGGGATGTAGCACACTGCATAAAGCCCTTGCTTAGTGTGTGCAAGGCTCTGGGCCAGATCCCCAGCACCGCAGAAGTTTGGAAAAGTAGCCTGTTGTCCCAGCCCTCGGGAGGTGGAAGCAGGAGGACCAATAACGTCCCAAGACCAACTCTTACTGTAGATGTCTAAAAAGGACTGAGCTTCACGCCTGCCGGGGTCTCTCTATTTCTCCAGGAAAGCGCAAAACACGAGTGTCTCCCCCCACCACCCCCAACATCCTAGAGCCATGCCACTCTTCTCTCCATTGTTAACATCAGGAAGAAGATCACACTCAAGTGAGCCTCACTTACTTTGGGGAGATAGCCTAGTAAGTTTGCAGCATGCTCTTTGAGGAGCCTCAGCCTTTCCTCTTCAATGATCTTGTTGATGCAGCCCTGCCGTCTTTGCTGTAGCTGCAGCTCCTCCAGCTCGCGTTGCTGGGAACGAAAACACAAGTGTCTTAACTGCCACCAAATACACTAATCCCTTATGAAGTTCACCAATGAGACTGAATTTTATTTTTAGTTGTTATTTGATTTTACATCCTGGCCACAGTTTCCCCTCCTCCTCTCCTCCCAGCCCAGTCCCTCCCCCTAAACCCCCTAAACCCTCTCTATTCCCACCCCTTAATCCACTCCTCCCCTGTTTCTGTTTAGGTTGGAACAACACGCTATGACTGAGCTACAACCCTTATGACAGGAAGTTTTAAAGAGACAAGCATGTATATGTATTTTTAGGAAAATTTTCAGTAACAAGAAGAAAATGTATTCAAAGGAGCAATTTCCTAATAAATCCAGCAAACATTTATGGAGTTCCCATCATATACAAAGCACCCAACCTACCCAAAATGCATAAAACAGAGCAGGGTTATCCGAGGACTCATTTCCCCTAATGTTGGTGTGCAGCACACTGCAAAGGTCAGAGTTCCAGCAGAGGAGCTCTAGCACCTTTCTTGAGAATTCTGAATTCTTAGCATACTCTGAGCCTACACTGCACATGTGATATTGTCTGCATAGTCTTTGGCCCTTAGGGACACACACAGCTGCCTAAGACCTCAATCCCACTTACTGCACTTGTATCCGGTGACTTCACCACTCTAATTTGGGCACACAGGATTTCCCTTCTTGTACTGTGCTACCCCACACTCAGTGTCCACCCTTATGTCATATAACTTATAGTAGTTAGTGCATGTGGTTTAGAAAGGTGTGGGACAAGGTCTGAATAGGTTGGTGATTAGAAACGCCTTGAGGCTTTTTTAGGATTTTGTCTAAACCACACACATTCTTAGAGGTAGACAGGATTATAGATACCTACTTAGGCCTCTCTCTAAAATATAAATGGGCAGTTTAGTGCTTTTAGGGCTACACAGTGTCATAAGTATTTAAGTTCTGTTGCTAAAACATCCACATCTGCCCCTGGGCCAAAACAAAATTGTGTCAGCTAAGCTGAAATCTTCATACTGGGAATGTTTACCATTAAATCCTAAAACATAAGTTGTACATGTGTGTCCCCGGGCACTTTACTGTTTTCCGTGTATGCTGGGTTATCTGCGAAGTGTTCTGATCTGCTCTAACCCTTAGACAAGCCAGTCCATCACTGGTCCTACCCTTTTACAGTAGAGAATGAATGCAAAGCCTTACAGGCAATTCCAAAGCATTTTCCTTTTCTGCCTTCTTAATTACTGCACTAACAGTTATTGTCTTCATTAACTCCACATTTATAAATATTTACACTGTGCCAGGCAAACTGCACTTTATAGATCATTATCTCCCCTACAGGCTAGAGTCAGGCCAAGGCTGATTTATACCAAGCCTAAGCAATGGAGGCTTTTATCTAATTAAGAAGAGTCCACCGAGGCTTAAGTGTGAAAAGAAACAAGAGTTATAAAGCCACTGATCGGCAGACTGACCAGTTGTAAGGAGACCAAGCAGAAATGCCATGGTGCAAGGGACGGGCTGGCCTCCTGGTTTTCTGTGACTACACACCATTTACAGTCTTTTAGCTTTTTGAATGTGTTTAGGTTTTTCCTTCCTCCTCATCTTAAACTACAATGTTCTCCAAGACTCTATCTATCCTAAGCCCCCTCATGCTTTCTTGTTATTACACCAACATCTCATATAAATCTCTTTTCTCTTTGTGCTACTTAATCCCAGGTAAGCACTTCCCAAACAAACAAACAAAAACAACCTGAGCTTTGCTCTAAAGTATAACTGCACACATGTCCCTTTTGTCATACTTGAAACCTTTGGATTATTTTGATTTCTTCCTCTCCCTACTCTATATACAGGGGGAAGATACCATACAGTTTCATTTACTTAGGAGGAAAAAAAAAAGAATATTCACATTCTTTCTGTCACCTACTACTGCTGCTGTTTACAGACCATAAAAGTTAGGACTACCATGTCTATTATTTACGGTACTGACTAATGCCTAGGAGCCTGTGCTTGCCACATTTAGAGTGCTTCATCTTCTTAAAGCATTCACACATGACTACATTAGGTCCTTCAAACATATCCGTTCAGGACACATACCATCCGAGTATTCTTTCAGTTTTGTCAATGGAACATAAATATTTAAGTCAGAATGTCAGACTTACAATCTGGTTCCCTCTCCAACTTCTAAATCTACATTTCTAACAATCAGCCTGCCTTTTTTGGCCATGAAAATCAATGTGAACAAATACACATTCCTTCAAAAATCTACTTTCCCCTCTACATAATCTTTAGAATATGGCCTTCTCACTGAAGAGGGAAACGACTATATCTGTAATCAGTGGCTGCCTTAAGTACTCACCTCTCCACAGTTAACTGGTCCCCAGCATCGTCAGATCTGCATGTTTGGCATCTGAGGAGCTCCTTCTATTTGCATATGCCACCCCTTCTGAGCTCCAGTACATGGCTCACTCGTCTCCATAGCGCCAGTATCCACCCCTTTACATCTCACTCGTCTCCATAGCGCCAGTATCCACCCCTTTACATCTCACTCGTCTCCATAGCGCCAGTATCCATCCCTTTACATCTCACTCGTCTCCATAGCGCCAGTATCCATCCCTTTACATCTCACTCGTCTCCATAGCGCCAGTATCCCCTTTCAAAGCTACTCAGTGCTGCCCCTTGAATCACCTTTCTAGATCATCTTGAATCTCAACATGCAATTTTCCTAATTATTTAGTGACTTCTCTTGGGGTAAAAACAAAATCCATCATAATATATAAGGTACCACAATGGGTAATTCCTTTCTGCTATACAACACCTTCATACCTTTATCATCATACATGAAATATACTATTTTTTTATTTTTCTCAACCAAGAGTGTAATTCATAGATGACACAGATGCTGGTTCTCAACATCAGCACATATAAGTCTCAACAACCAATTTCTATATGCCTTAATAAATGATCACTCGGCAAACTTACAGACCATAGGCCATTAAACGAACACCTAACCCTGTATGACACAGAAAGGCTCAGTGGGTAAAGTGCTTGCCACACAAGCATGAGGACCCGAGTTCAGATCCCCAGAACTTAGGCGAAGTCAGGTGTGTAATTCCAGGTTCTGCCAAAACGGAGACAGCAATAAAAGAACCCCCAGAAGCGGCAGGCTGCCCAGCCTCTCTGACATCTTCAGCGGACCGTCAAAGACCCTGCCTCACACAAACTGGAGGGGAGGGGCCACTGTGCAGTTTCCCTCTGCCCTTCACGCTCACACTAGGACACACACGTGCACATGCAAGCACACAGATGCTCTCAGTTGGTGTTTGCTGATAAGAGCTTTCCTTACCTTGTCTGCAAGGAACTGGCTGCGCCGCTCTTCGATGAGCTTCTCCACCGCCCGTTTGTGCTCCAGCTGCTTCATTCGTTGCTTCTGGGCATTCATGAGCTCTATCCGGTCGTCTTCAGCAAACTTAGCCAGCATGGCTTTCCTGAAGGTCTCTTCCTCCTCTTTTGCAGCCTGCAGAATTATTTCCTTGAGCGCCATTTGGTCTTCAAAGTCTTGCTTCATCTCCCTCTGCTTCCGCAGTTTCTGCTCTGCTTCTTCCTGCACAGTGATGGAGAGAGTTAAGCATTTCCTTGCACGTTCCCGAGAGGGCGATCCCAGCACTCACAGGGCAGAGGCAGGAGGCTCAGGAGCTTGAGGCCAGACTGGGCTAGTGAGATGCTATCTCAGGAAACAAGACAGATGAGGACAGTTACAGTATGAAATCACATAAACAGAATTAAGCCTTTTGACGACACTCTGTCCCACTTAAGACTGTCTGAATAAGATGCCATATTCTCTTTAAAAAATTATTTTTACGTGTGTGCGCGCGCACCTATGTGCAAGGAGCCCACTGAGGCCAGAGGAGGATGTTGGGCAGATACCCTGGCACTGGAGTTGCCAGTTCTTGGGTCTTCCAAGAGCAGCCAGTGCTCTTAACCTCTGAGCCATCTCTCCAGCCCATTAACCCACCTTTTCTAACCTACCTTTTCTAACCCACCTTTTCTAACCTAATCATTCTTGCCCAATCCCAGCACAAACTCTAGGCAGCCAATGTCAAGTAATGTCCAGGCATGCTAAAACCCTTAATGTCTATTCTGTCCCACACTCTGTGTAGGGTAAAAGGGCCAGAGCCAAAAAAAACACCCTGGCCCTGAAACCAGAGCCAAAGAACCACATTCTGCCCCTGACTACCTCAGTACAAAAAAAGCAACCCATCCCTGAGCACGAAACCAGCCAATTCCTGAGCACAAATCCAGTCAATCTTTGAGCTTGGAGAACCTCAGGGATTGAAAATCTGACCAATTCCCACTCTGAAAATCTTCTCCCTGGAAAAAACTCTGCCCCTAAGAAGCCCCGTGACTATTGAGTTTGCTGCTGCCTTTTTCCAACATGCCAGAGACAGCCACTCTCCTGGATTCCTCCCTCCCAACAAATCTCTTGAATGAGGTTTGGGTGAGACCTTTTGCCAGAGTGGAGCTGGGCAGAGAAGTAACAATTTTCGCAGGAGAGGAGCAGAGCATCTCAGCTTGGAGCAGAACTTCAACACTTTCCCTGGGACACATTCCCCTAGAGTAGCAGAGTTGTTACACTCCAGGGTACTTGAGCAGAGCTGTAACAACTTCACCTGGGAAGCCCTCCCCTGCTGGGGCAGAGCTGTTACACCAGGGAAGCCTTTCCCTGGAGATGGCTCTAAGCTGCTATGGGTGAGTGACTGTGATACTCCTTGGCTCCCAACTGCCAGGATCCCCAATGTTTACATTCTATGTGATGTACAGATGCTTTTCTCATCCCTTTCTGAAAATAACAAAGCCCCTCAAAGACATTTTTTTTAAGGTTCTAGGCACATGATGTTTTATACTGAATATTTTGCACTTACCATATATTACACAGACATTAAAGGCTTGGAGAAGACAGTTTAGTTTGTGATATTTAGTCTGGAATGCCTGTTTATTACAACCCTCTGCACACAGTGATGTGCTCCATATAATACTAAATCTAACACACACAATTGACAGTCCTGGGAATCTACTACCTATGTTAATTCAACAGTGAAGATATCTTGAAAGAGAGAGAGAGAGAGAGAGAGAGAGAGAGAGAGAGAGAGAGAGAGAGAGAGAGAGAAGAGGGGGTATATTTGGCCCCAGTACTGTTCTACTGTGAAAACAAATGTCGGCACCCTCTGCTAGGTCTACAATGAGGATTGTACTATCAGTATGAGCTACCAAACTCCCTGTCCTTTTCTGTGTTCTAAAACTTGTTACATGGTCTTCAAACCTTCAAATCACTTGCTGTATACAGCTGGGTGGTGGTGGCACACACCTTTAATCTCAGCACTTGGGAGGCAGAGGCACTGGATCTCTGAGTCTGAGGCCAGCCTGGTCTACAAGTGAGTTCCCGGGTTACTCACAGAAAACAGAAACAACAACAACATCATTTACCGTACAGTCTCTGACCCCAGTAACTGCAAAGAGTCTGTAGGTTCTCTGCTGGAACCATATCCAACAAGGGCATGTATGTAGGTTTTGTCTTATGGAGGCAGTCCCAGAAAACAGCAGTGAGAAACAGTGTAGCAGGAAAGAAGAAAAGCCAACCCAGGGCATGTCGGGAAGACGGGTCACACTGTGGGAATGGAGGCTGTCCTCTCAGGACCTTCCCCAGGAAGGACGGAGGAGCGGCCACTCATCCTGACTGTCCAGTTGGTAAGAGATGGGGAGAGAGGTCTGCTCCTTGCTGCCACACTCTCCCCTCACTGTGGAGAAGCTGCCGGCATGGTTAATCTAAGCCCTTAAAAAGGTGGCCCACAGCTGTCCCCAAAGGACAAAACAACACGAATGAATTTCCAGAGAATGCTGCCTCAGCCAAGCAGACCACATGAAGTTCCACTTGTGCTGTCCATTCACAGAACCTTCTCGAGTCCTCTAATATAACTAACGGCTCATGTACAGTACCTGGTTTATGCACCCATCGGCTGAGGGACACATCGGCTACTTTCATGTTTTAGCTATCAGAAATCCTGCTCTGGGCATTTGTGTATAAATACACGTGTAAACACAACATCAGTGATTTGTACCTATTCCTATCTAAGACTTAAAGATAATACTTCCCACTAACCCCTGCTAGATCCCACATTCTGAAACATTTTAAAAATTATCTTTCAGTTTGAAGTGTCTTTCCTTGGCTCGTTGCTTATCTAGAAATGCATGGCTTCGTTACTGTATACTTTAGGACTATACGGTCATTCTGATTACCTACTCATCTCTGTAGTGATTTGCTACGACTTAAGATCTTGTGATTGTACAGACATTTGCTCTGTCCTCGGAGCTGTAGTTTGTTGGGTGGAGTCTTCTCTAATGTCAGCTGGATGGTGCTGTCATTAGGCAGTGTGCTTTGTTTCTGGGCACTCAGGCGTATTGATGACAAACGAACGCCGAGAGATCCTACATCCTTTCATGCCTGTCAGTTTTGTCTCATGTATCGTGAAGCTATTATCACATATATCAGGATCAACTTATTTTAATTAAAAACTTCTGTCACATATAACATGCCCGCTCCGGTCTCCTTTTCATCTGCATTGCGTCCTCCTGTCTGGCTTGGAGGTCCCCTCCATGCGCACTCATTTAAGCTATGTGGTCTATGAACCACACAGCTGCATCATGTTCTTTAGGGTGCTCTACTTTGTCAAGGTTGAGAATCTTAGTCTTTTAACTGCAGTTTTTATGCTGTTTACATACAATGGAACTAGGCAGTTTTTATGCTGTTTACAAACAATGGAACCAGGCCATCTTCCCGAACCAGGCTTCTGGCTCTGAGACTTACTTTCACTTTCAGTTTCAGGATCTCGGCCTGCTCCTCCTGGTACAGCTCCTGCCTCACTTGCTCCAGATCCTCACGCTGCCGCAGCATTTCTTCCAGCTTCTGGATCAGCTGTTAAGAAAACATGTTTAGAAAACCTGAATTGGCAACTGTCTCGGGAGTTCAGCGCTCTTTAAAAAGTAGTTATTTTCATACCAAATTCTGACGCTGGGCTCTCTTCTCCTCACTCTCTTGAACTCTGGCCATCCGCTCGTCTTCCCTCTGCTGCTGTATGTTAGCAAACTCTATGATTTTCCTGTTCTCTTCCTCCATCTCCTCACGCTTCTTTTGTCTCCAGAGGGCTTGCTCTCTCTGGAACTCTTCAATATACTTCTGAGTTGCATTCATTTTTTCTAATTTTTGCTGTCTCTCCCTAAAAAGCAATGGGGGGGGGTTATAGTTACAGAAATAAAATAACAGAAGATAGAGAGACTGCTTTACAGTCACTAATGCAGCGCACTTTCTGGGTACCAAGTGTAGACTTTCCACGAAAACTCCCAGGCCTTTCTTCTAATGACACTTAAAGCATCTCACTTCAAGAAGGTGACAGTTTGTCTGCAGAAGCCATACTGCACTCTGCACTTAAGCTGGGTGCCAAGGAAAGCCACCAGAAACACATGCTCTGCCGTATAAGATGTACACATTCAAGAAAAACAAAGGTTTAGCTCATGTACCACTTACACAGCCACTATATTTCAGATCATCTACTAATATTTACGCTAAGGAAGAGCTGTTCAACAAACGGAACACCTCTGGCTGGCCGCACACGCACACTGGGCCAGGCACCTCCGGGGAGTACTTACAGCTGGTCTTCCTCGTAGATCTTCCTGACAATTTCGTCAATCATGAGTTTCTCTTTTAGCAGCTGCTCATATGCCTCCTGCTTTCTCCTCTCTTGTTCTTCCAGCTGCTTTTCCAGGTCCAGGTGGTACTGGGCCTTCTCCTTGTTCCGCCGGTCTTGCTTGACACACTCTTCCTTCTTTAGTCTCTCGTGTTCCTCCATCATGACCCTGGCTATTTCAGCATCACGTTTCTAGCATTCAAGCAAAATTAATCCTTCCACTTTCAAGAGTGAGCACTGTTTGTTACAGCACTATAAACAGACACAGTTGCACACTGAAAACCTGTTATGAAAACGCTTTTCATCTATTAGGTTAAAAGCAAGAGTGACCTGGAGGGTGTGAATGAGGAGTCAGAGCCCAAGGGGTGTCCCTACTCTTTCCAGAAGCTCTCAGGGTAACACCTGGCAAGGATAGTGAAGTCCACATTCAGAAAATACTAGGTATAGTTGTTAAGTACTTTACGAATAACCACTTCAGCCACCAAACAATTGCTTCCTGTGTAATCCGATCGACTGTCAGTTTCTAAGCCTCTGTTAACCTGCTGCTGTTGAGCACCCCTCCTGCCCACCTGTTAGGCTCCTTCCTGCCACACATCCTTCTCTTTTATTCATCAAGGCCCAGTGTGGTGATTTCAGCTGAAAAGGTCACTGTGACTGCTCTCTCGTTTTCATTTTCATTCACACAGTGCCATTCCCATTGAGTTACAGACCAGCTTTCACATAAATTAAAGCATTTCCAATACCGGAGTAATGATTAAGACCACCCTCTGTCTGTGTGACCACACCCCAAATGCAGGGATGGTTAGCAGCAAAAGGAAAGAGGGAGCAGACTGGAAGACAAATGCAGTCCTTGCTAAAGTAGCTGATGGGCATCGTGCATGCATATGGTTACTGTGACTTAACCACAAGTTCTCTTGTCTTTGCTCATGCTACATTACATTCTTCTAGAATATATAACATAGCAAAAAAAATGTGCTAACAAAAATGCATACAGATTACTACAGTGCTCTAAATTTACAGATAAGAAAACTGGCTAGGGCTGGAGAGATGCTCAGTCCAGTAAGGGCACTGCTGCCTTCCCTTCTCACCACCCACATCAGGCAGCTCACAATCACTGCCCTCTTCTGGTCACCATGGGCACTGCATGCATATGGTGCACACAGACAAGCAAGCAAACACATATACACATAATAAAAAAATTAAAATTAAAAAAACCTAACCTAACAAGTATATAGATCTTCTATTTAGTCAAGTCCTAGTGGTATATGGCTCTAATTTTGTGATTAAAAAACCTAATAACAAGTATATATAGATCTTCTATTTAGTCAAGTCCTAGTAGTATATGATCCTAATTTTGTGAGTCAATTTTGGTTTAGAAGATAGTATCAATTTGGGAGTCAAATACCTATAATGGCTATGGATGAACTCAGCTATCAGAGTAATTAAAACTAGAAACAACTGAACAAACTGTACATTATGTTCTATTTTATCAATTAAAAAAAATTAACTACACAGCTCATATACAGGTCTACTCATTTTCCTTAAGTTGTCACTGTTAGCATGTTCTAGAAGAGACGTTTTCAACATGTGGAATCGAATGACCCTTTCACAGGGGTCACACATCAGATATCTCCCTCGCATATCAGATATTTACATTATATTTAATTTACATTATATTTAATGGTTGGGGGGGTCACTACAACATGAGGAACTATATAAAGGGTCGCAGCATTAGGAAGGTTGGGAACCACTGTTCTAGAATCTTATAGAGTATCCTGTGGCCATTCTTAGGAGTTCTCATGCTGCACCACACTGGTTTAAATGTTGTTATCACATCTACAATCCTTTGTGCATTCACATGTTTGCTGGTATTCATAACCCACATGTATAAACATACACTTTCATACGTAATTGTCTGGCTCCTGTATGAAAATAAGCTCAGGTGATGCCATGCACTTGGTTTAATGTGTTAGCACAGCAAACCTTATTTTCATATTCATGACACAGCTGCTGGTGTATCACCTGAAACTTGCTCTCCTAGGAGCAACCTCGTCCTCAAGAATTAGACAAGGATGAAAACAGAAAACCACAGGGGAAAAAGGTTTCCTTAGGAAACATGAGTGAGAAAGAGGGATGGAAGCAGGGGCCTGGGGAGAGCGTGCTCATAAAATTGCCAAACTAGGAATACGCAAAGATAAAAAGTGGAAAAACATAGTAACCACATCCTAGGATACAGACGGTTGGACTGTGCTAGCTTGTCACAGTAATAAGTTCAAGAAGAACACAGTGAACGTGGGGAATTATCTGGGCTTGAGGGCTCCAGCGTTCAGGCAAACACAGCTCGGTGAAAACCGCCAAGGGTCTGAACATGACAATGTGGGGTACCTGGCCAAGTGTGTTCTTCACAAAACCTGAGTACAGAGTACAGAGCCTGAGTACAGAGCTATAATGACGCAAAGCAGCTTTACCATTTGCTCGTATTTGATGGCGTCCTTCTCGGCAATCTGGGCAGCTCTCTCTTTATTCATGTAAGCAGCTTTCAATTTCTGCTCCAGCTCTCTGAGCTCTATACTGTGGGGAGAACACAACTTTAAACTTGAGGAAAATAAAAGAATTCAGCTTCACAGAAAACTTGGTGAATTCTTATTTACTCAAAGTATGCAACTGGTATCATTTGAAGTCCACAGTTAATTCATCACATTTAAAAGCCTTCTGCTTGAGGGAATTACTCTTTTCTAATTTAATCTTCCTTTACATAAATTTATTTAACTTGTGGGAGTCCTTTCCTTCCACCCTGTGGATCTGAGATCAAACCCAGGCCTTCAAGCTTGGCTGCAGTTTAGTATTAAACTACATTTTATTCTATCCTAGAGAAGCAGCCTCCATCTTTGACTGTCTTTGTAAAGTCTTAGCAATTATCTGGAAACTATCTCCAGTTCTGGTGCCCCTAAGCCCTTACTAATAGTTAGGCATGACTGGCTTAAGTACAGGAGCCCAGCACTTGGAAAGCAAGAGCAGGCGGATCTCTGAGTTTGAGGCTAGCCTGCTTTACACAGGGAGTCCCAGGACAGTCAGGGCAGAGAAGGGAGACCCCATCTTAAACAACAAAAGCCAAGTACTCTATATTACACATGTCAGGATTTTTGTAATTAGAAATCATTTTAAAATTCATCCTAGTTGGGTGGTGGTGGCTCATGCCTTTAATCCCCGCACTTGGGAGGCAGAGGCAGGAGGATCTCTGTGAGTTCCAGTACAGCCAGGACTGTTACAAAGAGAAACTCTTTCTCAAAAACAAATCATCCTGAAAGGAAAGTACTTACGGGACTAAAACTTAGTTTTCCCTATCAACACTAACATTTCTATTAATGCAGCTGAATTTCTCAACCATTTCTGTGGGTTATGGCTATGATTCAGTAGTAGAGCACTTGTCTAGCACATGTAAGGCCCTGGGTTCAATACTCAGCACCACAACAAAGTAGTTTAAATGAGCATCTGTAAGTTAGTGCAGTATTTCCAGGACAACATTAATGGTAAGTGCAGTGATCTAAGTAAAGAGTCTCACTTTCGGGTGCTAAGGGAGACACAACTTGCAGTAACGGAGACTACAAATGCAAGTAGCAGAAGCCACGACACCTGCTCTCTCTCACTTGCTGCCTCATCTTTTCATCCTTCAGACTTTCGTGCTTTAGTCTGGCCAGTTCGTTGGCAAGTCTCTCTTCTTGTTCAAGCTGTTGATCCCTCAACATCTTGTTCTCTTCTGCCTGAGTGGAGAAGGGCAGTGTTAGTTATCTAGAGCCTCAGAGCAGATGTCTCACTGTCAAAGTTGTATGTGTGTTAGGACAGCAAACTAACCACCCCAACAGCAACAACAAATAACATTTCAAATACCTTACCGCAGAAAAAAAATTAAGTATTCCCAGTACTGCAAGGAACATTAATATACCTATATATTCTTTTCAAAATTTATCAATACTCTGCAAATTTGCTCTACTCTTGCATTCTGTCCCATTTTTCTTAGTCTCACGTTATCCCTACCACAGTATTTTAAATCAAATCCCGGAGGAGAGATGGAGAAATGGCTCAGGGTTTAAGGGCACTCACTGGCTGTTTTTGCAGAGGACCCAGGTTTGGTTGCCAGCACCCATCTGGTGGTTCACATCATCTGTTCCAGAAGCTCTGGTGCCCTCTTCTGACTTCCTTGGCGCCAGACACACACACGGTACACACTCACACACAAAAAAATTAGACACAGCTTTAAGATAAAACAGGCTTGGCCACTGCTGTCCGCCCACCATGGAAACAGCCCCATGTGGATCTACCTGACAAGACTTTTTCATAACCACACCACAAATTAGCAGCACTTCCTGAGTGAGGTCTAAGCTCTTGTCCACAGTCATTTCCCAACCATGTCAAAGATGCTCTTTTTAAAACCAAACAAGGTCCACACCTTGTACCTAATTGTCTTTCTCAGGGTTCCTTTAGTTTATAAATACACATACATACATACATACATACATACATACATACATACATACATACACACACACACACACACACCCTTTTTATCTCCTAAGCCAATGATGTGTTGTAATTACAGCCCGTCTAAGTTAGGATTTCTGCTGCTGTGATAAAACACATGACCAAAAGCAACTTGGGAAGGAGAGGGTTTATTTTAGCATATGGTTCCACATTCTAGTCCATGATGGGCAGGGACATGGAGGAAGGAGCTGATGCAGAGGACAAGAACGGATGCTTCTGAGTGGCTTGCTCCTCATGGCTTGCTCTGCCTACCCTCTCACAGAATCCAGGACCAGCAGCCCATGAGTAATATTAACCAATCAAGAAAATGTAGTGCAGGCTTGCCCACGGCCAGTCTGAGTACTTTCTCAATGGGGTCCCCTTCCTAAGCACTCTAGCTTGTGTCAAATGACAAAAGTATCCTATTGTGTGTATCTCCCCTGTTCTCTGGCTGCGCTCCCTAAACAGCCTCTCTTGTGCTTTCTGTCGGACAGATATGGAGGCTTCATTACATTCTGAGGTGGGCGGTGCAGGCCTGTAACCTGTAACTCAGAGGAGACCAAGGCCAGGAAAGCACCAGGCACCCCAGCACAGCCTGGTCTCATACTGAGTTCCAGGCCAGGGCTACATCTGAAGACCATCTCAAAAGCAAGGAACAAACAAACAAAACAAGAGCATCTCGTGAAAAATGTTTAGCATCAATAACCACCAAGAAATACAACTTAGGAATGGATAGATGCACCTGAGTTTGGTCCCCAGCGCCCACCCATCCCAGGTGGCTCACCACCACCTGTTCCTCCAGAGCCAAGAGATTTGGTGTCTCTGGTCTCCGAGGGCACCTGTAAGCACGTGAACATATCCACACATCCACACATAATTAACAATAATAAAAAACAGATCTTTTATAAAGCAAACTAAAATTGCACTGGGACACCACAGCATGCACACTGGAACGTCCATTTAAAACACACACATTAAAAAAAAAAAAAAGGGGGGGTTGATACCAAATAGCGAGAAGCTAGCTGTACCATGCACACGTTTCTGGGCAAGTGCCTGGAAATCAGCCTGGTGGCCTGTCATGAAGCTGACAATAAAACAACTACACACTTAAGTACTTGTCTCAGGAAAAGGAAGCATACTTAATTAAAAATCTGCATTTAGGCCTGCCAGTGGTGACACACACCTTTAATCCCAGCATTTGGGAGGCAGAGGCAGGTGGATTTCAGTGGGTTTGAGGCCAGCCTGGTCTACATAGTAAATTCCAGGACAGCCAGAACTGTTAAACAGAAAAACCCTATCTCAAAAATAAATAAATAAATGATCTACATTTAAATATTTACAGCAAATGTATTCATAATATCCAGTATTGGAAATTCCTCATCAGATGAAGAGTAAAGTACTATTGTGCGTTCATACTACAGAACACTATTTGACAATAAAAAGAAAATAAGCCACAAAAATAAAAAAACACATAAAAATACAAATAAAAAAAGTCTTTAGGAAGACAGGATCCCACACAAAAACACTTAGGTGACACTCTCTAACTCCTGATTCCACTAATGAAAAGGGCATTAAGGTTCTTAATCAGGCCTGAACGAGGCCAGCCTGGTCAGGAGCCCTAACCATGACCAGAAGGAGCTAGAGAAGCAGCTAGGGACGCAAACTCCATGCAGCCAATAACTTAGCTTCTATGAGGATCTTGATTCCAGGTGAGAAAGCATCCCAGCCAGCACCTGACTCAACCCACGAGACAGCTGGGAACCCAGCATGCCTGTGTTTGACCCAGACGATGTGAGTAGACACTGCTAAGTCTGCAGTAATGTCTTACACTACAGAAAGCTACGCACGGAACTGCACTCCTCACACACAAGAACTCTCACAGACTGAAGAGCAAGAGAGACTGGAGGAGATGAAGGAGACATGACGTGATCCTAGACTAGAACGAGAAAGCCGTCCATCTGAGTAAATCCTGTAGTTCAGTAATAGAATGGGGTAGGGAGGCTCATTCCTCTTTGGTGATAAGTTCACTGTTTTTCATATTCTATGTAAGACGCTGGCATAAGAAGTCAGGAGAGAATTTTATGATTTCTCCACAGAGTTTCTGAACTCTTTGATCAACCCAATCTTGGCCGCCGCCCCCCCCCCCCCCCCCCCCCGTGTGACACAAGAGCTAATTCCAGGTATGGTTCAGGACATGTATAAGGTGAGCCCTGTGCTGTCAGGCTGCTTCAGAGGAAGCAATGACGGAGCCAGAAACCCCAAGAGCTGGAGGGCGAGTGACAAGGGGGGCAACTGCATCGTTCTATTCTGCTCTGCGTCTTACGTTTAAGACCCAGTAGATGAAATAATGCACGTCATATCAAGCTAACACCAGCCAACTTAAGACAGGAGAAGAGCCAATGTGACAACCAAAAAACACAAACAAATCAAAGGCTCCGAAGCCCATGCCACCTTAGCTTGAAGGTGGCAGAAGAGTCAACTGTTCTGGCAACTAACTGCCTCTTTGTTCTAGTCAAGCCTTCATCAACGTACTGATTTAAATGTTACTCTTATCTAAAAACACCCAAAACAAGGTCAGCTGAGGGCCCAGTCAACCAACACATAAAAGCAGCCATTGTGAGTGATTTTGTTCCGGCAGAAAGCAAGAGAGATATCAAAGATCAAAGGTACTTTGTCAAAGAGCACAGAGACAACATAACAGGGCACCCACTGGCCAAGCCACGTAACGGGCTGGTAAGATGGCTCAGTGGGTAAAAGGGCTTGTGGCAAAGACAGAGGCCTGTGTTCAATCCCCAGGACCAAAGGATAGAAGAAATGTAAATGGTCCTCTGACACACACCTTACCACCCCCTGCACGAACACGAACACACACACACACACACACACACACACACACAGGTGGAGGTGGGGGAGAAGGAGATACACAAAGAGATTTAAAATTTTCCTTAAGAAAATAGAGGGTGGGCTGTAGCTTAGTGATAGAGTGCTTGCCTTGCATGCATGAGGCCCTAGGTTCAATCCCTAATACTGTCAGTTAAAATAAATAATAAATCCAATTATACATCTATAAAGACTCTTGACCTCAATAAGATATTTCAGGGTTTTTTAAGGACTTATTTTTATGGGTATCACTGTTACGCCTGCATGCATGTACATGTACCACGTGTGTGCCTGGCGCACACGTAGACCAGGAGAGGGTGTCGTATCCCCTGGAACGGGAGTTACGGGAAGTTATGAACTGCCTACTATGGGTGCTAAGAACTGAACCTGAGTGCTCTTAACTGGTGAGCCATCTCTCCAGCCCCATAAAGTCATATTTTTAAAGAGAAACCAAAAACTGAAGGGAGTAAAACTTTAAAATAACCACAATAGACACAGAAACAAATTCATTACAAAGTAACTGTTTTCTCCCCAGCATAAGACGAATTACAAACTAATCATGTCTTCCTGGACAGCTTCCTTCACAGAATACAGAAAAGATAAAAGCACATATTGTGTGATGTATTACTCTTTTGTCTTTTTTTTTTTTTTCTTTCTTTCTTTTTTTTCTTTAAGAAGGGCCCTCCACCCAGCTCCCAAATAAATCACTGGTGGAGAATTATTCTTAGTTATGAATGCCCGACCTTAGCATGGCTTGCTTCTTGCCAGCTTTTCTTAAATTACGACAGCTATCTTTGGTCTCAGTGCTTTTATCTTTATTCCCATATACCTTTTCTTTCCTCTTACTCTGTGTCTGGCTGGGTGGCTGGCCCTTTAATCCTCCTCGGTCCCCCTTCTATTTATCCTCTCTGCCTGCCAGCCCCACCTCTCCTTGCTCCTGCCTTGCTATTGGCCCTTCAGCTCTTTAGTAGGCCCACCAGGTGTTTTAGACAGTCACAGTAACACAGCTTCACAGAGTTAAACTAATGTAGCATAAACAAAAGCCACACACCTAAAAATAATATTCTACCATAGGCGCACATCAAAGGAACCACACAGATGTACAATCATCCAGAAGACAATGGGCCTGATATCGCCCATTAGGTTAGAAATATGAAGTTAACAAAGGATAGAGGAAGAGTTGTTCACATTAACAAAGCCTTAGGCATAAAAACCATACACGCTGTACGAACCCTGCCCAGTCCTGATTAAAAGAAGCCAACGCTAAAAGGCAGACTTTGGCATAGTGCAGAAATTTGTTTAAAGCTATCTACCAGTGAGAAGATGACACTAAAACAGTATGTGAAAGAAGACATCCCTGTTTCATCAGATGCAGACTGACAGTTGCTACACAGAGCTGGAATGTGTGCACAAAATAAGAATAAAAATAGAAAAAAATGGAATGACCAGGATTTGCCTGCTCAGAGCTAAAGGATGGGGTCTAAGGCACTGGAGCTTGGAACAGAAGGAAGCCAGCATCTTTAAGCCTTTCTCTTTTGCTATATCCTGAGCCACCCTCAAAATACGGGGCACACCAAACATCACAAACTATGAGGACACTCTTCACACTTAACAAGAATTCACTTGTCACTTCCTGTCTGTTTCCTCTACTACAATCTCCTAAAAATATTTAGAAATACCCATGATTGATTAGCCAGTAGTTCAGTACGTAAACACACATACATTGTACCTGAATCTGTTTTTAAAAATTCAAAATATGAATAAATGTATGCCTCATACAGGTTTATCTCCTCCCACTTAATAATGGCTATGTTTAATGTTGGAAATTTTTAAAGAATTCTTTTTTTTTTTTTTTTCAAGACAGGGTTTCTCTGTATTTTGGAGCCTATCCTGGAACTAGCTCTGTAGACCAGGCTGACCTTAAAAATCAGAGATCCACCTGCTGGAACTAAAGGCATGCACCACCAACACCCAGCCTAAAAAGGAATTCTTAATTTTATTAGAAATTTACAGAAGTCAACACAGTTGTACTCCCATTAGCAAAACTGTGATATTAACAATTATGGATTTCATATTTATGTTTAATTTATGAAGAATGCTTATTCTTGCCACACACTGTTCTAAAGGTTTCACATTTGCTCATTATTTAAGCAATCCTAGGCTGGGAGCACTGTTATCAGATTTTATAGATAAAGCATAATAAAAAGTGACTAACTGACCCCAAGTTCTTCAGCAAAAGTAACCAGTACTCTGTAGGATTCCTAGCTTTCTGTTTCCTCAACTCTGGGACTGACAGTCATCTTCCAAATTTTCCAAATGAAAACAATTTAACAACGAACACTGAAACTTACTTTTTGGATGGCTTCTTCCATGTCCAGCTCGAACTGCTCATTCTGTAGCACTCTGAGGAATCTCTTACGTTCAACCCTCTGGTCATTTTCATTTTGCACGATCTGGTTCCTGGCTTGCCTCTCTAATTTATTCAATATCTGGATATGCAACGATTTGCGGAAGTTTTCATCTACTAACTTCTGATGCCTTTCACTGAAGCTCAGAGCTCTCCTGGTGGCCTACAAAGCGGGGGAAGGGAAATACACTGTTCAATATTCCATGATCCCGTTTTTCAAAAGATGAAAATCCCTATAACAAACGATGTAAACTTAGGCAACAGTCTGAAGGGTCTTTGGCCCTCTTCCTAAATTCACAGTAAACCAGACCAAAGTTCAAGCGTGACAGGGTAACATGACGCACTGATTAAATGGGTACTAATAATATTCTATTTTGTAGGCAAAGCAGGAAAAGTTTAAGTAATTAAACTCAAAATTCAACAATACCAGTGAGAACGAAAGTCAAGCCCTCCAGCTGCAGCTTAACCACCACTCAGAGAGCTGCCCACCTCCCCAAAGCAGGTTTAAAGATGTGTCTATCTCAATGTGACCGGGAAAGTGCAGAAAAGCCTGGTGCGTCTCTCAGAAAACAACCCAGAGCCTTACAGAAAGCAAATCGAAGTTTCTCAGCGACCTCTCGGATTACACGCTTCGAATTATATTTCAGATGTAGCGAGCTCTAGACTGTAAATAAATAAACATGCAGTTTGGAGGTCCCCGATTCCCGCCCGGGCCTCCAAGCTGCTCACCATGGTGGCTGATTTTAAATTTTAAACCTCCTCCGGCTGGGTGAGTCTTCTGCCTCAGCTGCAAACGCGTCTTCTCGAGCTGCTGCCGCCTCCGCACGACGCGCGCTCGGGTGTTTACGCTGTGTCCCGGCAACCGCCAAAGCGCGCCGCCCGCCCGAGCGGGAAGCAGCTTCCCATTGGCTGGCACAATATCCAATCAGCCCGGGGAATCTTCGTTGCCAGGCACGAGCGCTCCTTCTATAGGACCAAACCAGAAGGCGCGAAGTATGGATGCTGAGCCCTAGCAGGAGCTGTTTAGGTCCAAGAGTAGCTAATTCCCGCCGCCTGGAGGTTTCAAGGACACACACGACATACACAGACACAAACACACGCGGGCGCGCACACACACACACAAAGCTCTGAACACACACACACACACACACACACACACACACACACACACACCCCTCTGACTTCTCACCGTGATGGGCTAAGGGAGTATCCTCCCTCCATCATCCCCAGGTGGTGGCGAGCTGCCCAATCTGGTTGCTGGACCCTGAACTCAGGTCCTCTGGAAAAGCAGCAAAGGCTTTTGAGCCACGAGCCATAGTTCCAGTCCTGATAAGCTCATTTTAGAGATGATATATTCTATTTGCTTCTGGAGAAGAAACCACTGGATATATCGCTGGTAGAGCTAGTGCAAACACATGGTAATTTTGAAACTGCAAGAGACCAGTGTGAAGACAGAGAACGCATATAAAAGCAGAACAGGTGTGGCTGCCCACCTGTAATCCCAGTGCTCTGGCAGGCCAGGCACCTACCCAGGGATGGCACCACCCACTGTGGGCTAGGCCATCCTACATCAATTAGCAATCAAGAAAATGTCCTACAGACCAATCTGATGGAGGCAATTCTTCAATTGAGACTTCTCCCCGGGTGTATCAAGCTGATGTCGAAGAGAGACTATCATGAGTGATCAGAATGTATTGTATAAAATTTAAAAAAATAAAGATTGGCCATCATTATCATATATAAAATGTGGGGTACATACAATGCAAAACGTTTTTGAACTCAGGATGCAGCTAACAATCCCTTGGGATTCTACAAAAAAAAAAAGTGGCACATGTATATTAATTTTAAATTCTAACTAATATAAAAAACAAAAAATTGTAGGTATGTTATGGAATATCATGTAATGTCCTGATGCATGCATGCATTGCACATTGAAATCAATAAACATTCATCAAACATTATTTCTTCAGGGTGAAACTGGAAGTCTTTTTCCCGGGCTTTCTGTCATACACCCACCTTGCTGTGCACACCTGTATTTCTCACTATATCTTAGTAACTGATGTAAAGCCTTTCCCCGTCTTGCCCCATCCTAACTCTCCCCAGCCTCTGTTGTCACCATTCCACTTAGAATTTCTGAAAGCAACACATTTTAGGGCTCTGCATGTTCACACAATCACAAATTATCTTCCAACAAGGCCACGCCTCCTGAATAGATCCCTCCCAAATAGCCACTGACTGGGGATGAAGAATTCAAATGCCTGAAAGTTAGGGGAGAACACCTTTTTCAAACCACACATCGAGTTACTTAGAAATGTCCATTCTTTACCTTGATTTCTAGCTCAATCCACAATGGCCAAAGAGCATGTTTTGTGTGGCTTCCATTCTTCTGAATCTGGGCTTGCTTACGATGCAGACGAGTACAGACCATCCTCGTGTGTGTTCCACGTGCACTCACGTGCACTCGAAAGCGCTATCCTGGAAAACAGTGTGTTGTGGTGTTGCTGGGTCCATGAGGCCAAGTTGGTTAAAGACACAGTTTGCTGTCTTCACAGGGTTTCTGTCTGTCTTGTTAAAGCTGTTGGCTGTAATTACAGATTGCTTCTCTTCTTGGCTTTTGTTTTGTTTGTTGTTGATGCTTTGTTTCAGCCCCGAGTCTCCTGGGAGTCTGTGTGTGCCCATAATTTGGAATTATCTTGGCCAGTGAAATGGTTCAGTGGAAAAGGCACTTGCCACCAAACCTGATGACTTGAGTTTCAGCACCAGGACGCACATGATGGAGGGAGAGAACCAACTCCCTCAAGTTGTCCTCTGACCTCCACACTCACACTGTGACACATGCATGTGCACACTGGATGAATGTAAAACAGTTAATTAAAAATAAAGTTATTGTTACATTTATCCTTCGTTCATTTTCTCTCCTTTTTCTTATTATTTCTCTGATTGCATTTTATTTTTGCTATTGCATTATTTTACTTCCTTAAACACTTACAGGTAAATATCATAATTCCACCTCATTTATCTACATAAATCATAATACAATATACTTCTAATTCTTCTGAGTCATCTTTTATTCAATTTTTTTTGGCTGCTGCTATGTATTTTACTTCTACATATACTATAAATCCAAAATATATGTTTCTACAAATGTTAAATTGTTGGGTTTGTCTCAAAGCTCTCAGGTTGTGTGTATATTCAAATATGCTTGCCTTTTTACTTATGATGAATCTGTTGCATCTTTGTTAGCTGTAGTTTTAAGGTTTATTTTATGTGTGTGAGTATTTTGCCTGCGTGTATATATGTGCAACACATGTGTGCAGTACCCACAGAGGCCAGAAGAGGGTGTTGGATCCCCTGGAGATATAGACAATTGTGAGCTGCCATGTAGGTGCTGGGAATTGAACCTGGGTCCTCTGCAAGAGCAGCCAGTGCTCTTAACCGCTGTGTCTCTCCAGCCCCAAATTTGCTTCTTAACTAACATTTCCATTTAACCTTTTTTTATGGTTACTGTCTTCTCAGCTGAAATTGCTCACCTCTTCAAATAAATTATCTGCCTTTTCTCCCAGATCTTTCCTGTATTCTGCAATTAAAATGTTTTTATATCTGATCATTTTACTATCTGGCTCGTATATTGGTCACCCTTTTACATTTTGATTTTTTTTTGTTGTTGTTTTATGATTTTTGTTTTTGTTTGTTTTTTGGTTTCTCAAGACAGGGTTTCTCTGTGTAACAGGCTGGCTGTCCTGGAACTTGCTTTGTAGACCTGGCTGGCTTTGAGTGCTGAGATTAAAGGTGTGTGCCAGCACTGCCTGGCTGTTTGACAATTTTGTATGACTTTTAGATGTCACTGTGAAGCAGGAACAGACTACAACAAACCAGGGGCACATGGGAAATGAGCAGGCCTGAGCCACTAGAGACTGCTACTCTAACAGGTTGGGGCAGTATATCCAGGAGTGAGGCGGGATTTGAGTGATGTTGTTGCCATGGTTACTGTCAGCATACTCTTACCTTCCACTTCCCCAGTGTCATCTTCAGCCTACTTCCCGGGTGTCCTGATCTCAGTGGTCCTGATTCTGCCTCCACTCTCTGCCTTCCCTATGTTTCTGCCCCTCAGAGCTTCTCTCTCTACCTTGCTGCTGCTCCTAGCAGTAACCAACACTGTGTCCTGGCCCAGTCCTGATAGTAGGTGATAGGCCCTGTCACAGAGTCCTGGGTATAGGGGAAGAATAAGAGGGAAAACATTAACAAGAATTCGCTGCTTCCTCTTGCCTTTAAAGACAGTTCAAGATCCTTAACCCAATCTGTTCAGATTTCTTCTTCAATCTTCAGCCAGCGGATTTCTTTGAGCTGCTGTCTGCCACAGGTCTTTGTATGCATAGGTCTGTTTGCCCAACAATCACTTTCTAGCTTCTCCAACCCCCAACCCCATGTATTTAAAAAGATACATTTATAAAATTTGCTTTTATTTTAAATTGTGTGTATGAATGTATGTTTCTCTGTGTGTGCACGCGTAGTAGAGTGTCCATAGGGGCCAGAAGACAGTGTGAGATCCTCTGGAGCTGGAGTTATAGCATGTTGTGGGCTATCTGACGAGGGTTCTGGGAACTGAACTGGGGTCTTCTAAAAGACTAAAAGGTGCTCTTTACTGCTGGGCCACCTCTCCAGCCCTGTCTCCGTCTGTCATAAGAGTATGTGATGACTGAAATCCCAAGTTCACTTCTTTTGTCCATGAGGTAGCTTATACTACCAGATGTGGATTTGAGAAATAGGTATACACTGTCTAACTCATATCCTAACTCATATTTCATGAACGAAAATCACATGTTTGATTTACATAGCCTTTCTGTTACTCTAATGAAACTCTGACTTGATACAATGGTTACTTTTGCTCCATCTCATGGGTCAGATGACTAATAAAAGCAAACATTCCACTGCTGCATCATTATTTAACTCAAGCTTTCTAAAGATTATTAATCGCCACTAGAGTGAAAACCTCTTGGCTGGGTGGTGGTGGCACACACCTTTAATCCCAGCACTTGGGAGAAAGAGGCAGGTGGATCTCTGTGAGTTTGAGGCCAGCCTGGTCTACAAGAACTAGTTCCAGGATAGCTTCCAAAGCCACAGAGAAACCCTGTCTGGAAAAAAAAATAAACAAACAAACAAACA